TGGCTACAGCCCGTTAAAGTAGCCGAATTTCTAAACCTGGAGCTGGAACCAGATTAGCAGAACACAAACACACACATGTACTACTGCTACAACAACAACAACAACAAAAGTGTCGATCACCACAAGCAAGCGCATCGCCGGGAATGGGCCAAAATACCGCAGAGCAACATTCGGGCAGTGTGTGACAGTTTCATTGGCCATTTGAATGTCATAATTCGTGCCAAAGGTGACCAATTCGAACAAATCTAAACTTATTCTAAAATTTGATGCTTTTTCCGACATTTTTGCTTTCATTCAATAAAATTTTAAAAAAATGTAAAAGTAATGCCGTTCAACTTTGTTGCAGTTCTTTTATATCACCCTGTATTCCATCTTCACACCAGATCTTTTGTTCATAGAAATTTTGGGATGTGCCGAGTTTAAAAGGAATCAGATACACATTTGAGTTTTATGATATTCAAACTTATTCAATATTTTTAACCTCTGTGAAGAAGGTACCAGAAGAAGTGAGCCGATATCTACGATCTCCACACCAAACCTTATTTTAGTGGAAATATTGAGATGTGCGAAATTTGAAGATACTCGGACTTTTATTTCACATTTTAATAAGAGTTATAATTATTTAAAATTGTTCCCTTCTCGCAGCTGCTAGCACTAATACAAATAGTAGGATTTTCAAAATTTTCACAAAATTGAATGATTGTTTCTCTTTTTGTGGGAGAGGTATCAGAAGGAATGGACCGATATTGCCCATCTTCGAACTCGATCTAAGTTTGATAATAATATTACGATGTACCAAGTTTGGACCAATTCGGATACTCCCTTGGAGAGTTATCGTGCGCACCAGCCATAGGACAAAAACTGTTTTTTTGAAGGATTGCAATTAATTTTGAAATTTTTACTGATTTTCCGTTTAGTTTCTTTTTGGATTAATAGGGGAAATAATGTTGTACGAAGTCGAGCGTGCCTTTCTAACTGGCATTGTAGTATTCTGGAGGTAAAGCAGAGAGTTCCATTTGAAAATTAGTCGCCATGGGGAAAATAAGTTTTTAAGGAAAATAATTAATTATATTATTATAAATAATTAATTAGCTCATATCTAGACATATATGAAAAACATTTTGCAAGGAGTGTAAGGCTAATCAAAGATCAAATTGTCACAGTAAAACGTTCGGATCCCTATTAACTCTTTGCATTAAATTTGAAATATATGTGTGTTTTAAAACTTAAAAACTAAGTAAACAATTTCACTATGGGAACAAACAATGTCAATTACGATGCATTAATACTAAAATCATATACATATAATAAAAAATCTCTTTTTATAAAATACATTAAAGAGGTTAAACAAAAATAAAAAAAAAAAATTAAAAAACAATTTATAATTGCAAATACATGGGTAGGGTTTTCGGCAAAAGGGGCTAATCTTTGTTGGTTGGTTTTAGAATGTAAATTCTTTTCAATAAAGATTGTTCTTCCACGAGTATTGCTTTGTGTTACTTGCTCCAAAACTTGAATGATTCATTTTTGTTGTATGTTGTAATAACATTTAAATATATTTATTTGTTTTTTTCTTAGTTTTTTAAAGATGGTAGTTGTTATATAACAGTAGTTTTGTTTTTTATAATATTTTATTTGATATCAATTTATAGTTGAATTGTTATTTAACATTTACACGTTTTCTTTTCATGTTTTTTTTTTTTTGTAATAATAAATTGGGAACACGCTGTATTTAAAAAAGATTTATTTTGATTTGTTTTTATTTTTTTTATTTTAAAAAGTGTTAACTTATAATAAATGGATAAATTAACTATAAGGCAAAATTATTTAGGAAGTAAATATTGTAATATTTTTTTCTTTATACATAACACATATTTTCTTGAATAATCGTAATGTGATATAATATATGAATAATAATAATTATTTTTTAAATTAAGAATCATAAAGGCTGCTATCCTTGTAATTTTTACAAACAATACAAATCTTTGGTGAATTCCAAAAAAAGTAATTAATTACTGAAATTATTTCCAAAACATAAACAATTTGAGATTCAGTTTTTATTTTCTTTTGAGAAACCTTTCAAATGTTCAAGTCTAACAAACTTTTCTTTTGCTGTTTAAAATACATAACTGTTTTTTACATATAGTAGATTTAACAACTTCCAAATACTAAATAAATACATTTTATAGTCATTTATTTTGACCTTATATAGCTTATAGCCCCCATATAGGCTCGAAATAGTTAAAAGCATTCAAATACCTTGATAATTTTTAAAATTTACATTAATTTTTAATGTTTTTTTGGCGAAATAATTTTTCAGATACACAAAAAATTATCGATGTAAAAAAATATGCCAAGAGGAAACTCCCCTTCGCTCCTCTTACCAAGAAGTTTTGTTGATCTTCCAAAATTTTCAGTGAATCTCGAATTAAAACCAGTAAAGAAAGTATTAAAGTCGGGCGGGCCGACTTTATAATACACTACACCACTTTGCATATTTAGTAGAGCTTCACATAACAAATAAAAGTTTTAATGGCGAATTTGTGAGAGTTAAATCATACCAACTATGATTATAGTAATAATTTATAGTATTTCTATATTTTATAGTAAAGGAAGTAATATATATGAGGAATATCCTCCTCTGAATCGATTTTTACTAAATTTGTCGAAGCATTTGCACCTTTTCAATCAGGCTTGTATTATCCAGTTGGTGCACAATTAACCTGAAATCGGATAGATATATATGAGAGCTATATTTGAACCGATCTCTATAAAATTTGGCAAAGGTATTTCTGTGCTGTATTTGATATATTTCCCCGAATATCGTCACTACGGAATCCATATTACGGCTATGCAGGGCAAATTCAACAAATCGGATATATGGGAGCTTTAGCTATATCTGAACCCTTTTCCACCAAATACAAAAATTCCATTCCATTTGGGCTAATGTTACACGTTTGGTGCACAATAAAAGGCAAATCGGACGAAGATATATATGGGAGCTATATCCAAATATTAACCGATCTCCATAAAATTGAACAAGGGTATTTCTGAGCTCTATTTGATATATTTCCCCAAATATCGTTGTTACAGAGTGTATATTACGGCTGCGGAGGACAAAAATAAGGTATTTCTGTGCTGTATTTGATATATTTCCCCGAATATCGTCACTACGGAATCCATATTACGGCTATGCAGGGCAAATTCAACAAATCGGATATATGGGAGCTTTAGCTATATCTGAACCCTTTTCCACCAAATACAAAAATTCCATTCCATTTGGGCTAATGTTACACGTTTGGTGCACAATAAAAGGCAAATCGGACGAAGATATATATGGGAGCTATATCCAAATATTAACCGATCTCCATAAAATTGAACAAGGGTATATCTGAGTTCTACTTGATATATTTCCCCAAATATCGTTGTTACAGAGTGCATACTACGGCTGCGGAGGAAAAAAATAACAAATCGGATAAACAATATATATGGGAGCTATATCTATATATGAACCGATATCGATCAAATTTGGCATACTTATTTTCAGGCTCAATCTGGTCATATGTGCAAATCCATACTATTTGGGCTGATATTACAATTTCAATACGGTTCGTCCTTGGAAAAATTATTTGTGCAAAATTGTATCTGAATTGGGCAATAAATGCGACCTGTACTTTGTTTATAAAAATATATGGACAGACGGACTGACATGCATAAATCGAGTCAGAATGTGACTGAGCTTAGGGTGATTCAGCATTTTGATGGTCATCGGGTAATATTTATTTGGTGACCATAATAGACCATAACATTTGTGTACAAGTCAAATTTCCCATTAAACCGATAATATTTTTAATCACGTCAAAATCACAAATAGACGGAAATGTCAATTCTGAGTGGACAGCGGCTAGAATGGACCACTACTTTAGTGTGAAAAAATACCAACATTACTTACAGGCGATATCCGAAATACACAAAAGGCGAACATCTGGCTTTTTATGCTGATTTCGTTGACGAATGTAGCCAAATATCGTAGACAAGTTATTCGTATAGATGAGTCTAAATTTGGAGATACAGATGGGCCTCTTGTTTTTGGAGATGATCGCAAAATATTTATGGGTTAAAATGAACCAAAAAGAGAAAAAAAATCTGATCACCCAATTGAAGCCAATCGACACGCCTCAGAAGAGAGTTAAGGACAGGGAAGAATTCTAGAATTTTGAATGACCATTGGATTATATTTAGCTATAAAATGGACCACAACAACTAACAACACCACGGAGGACTGTGGGGTATCACATGGTCGGCCCCGCACAACTATAGCTGTTGCTTACTTGTTTTCCATTAGACATGTTGAGCAATACTTGAAAATATTTACAAATCTTAATTCATTTATGTAGTAAATCTGAAACCTCAAAATGTTGTCAGCAGGGACTAAAAACTTTGGAGAAATTCTAGATTGAAATAGGTTCCTTATTCGCCATACAAATTAATTTTTTTTTAGCTAAAACATCCTCCTTAAAGATAAAACATACATATTTTAAATTTTCGAAACATTGAAAACAGTTATATAACACAACTAAAGTTATCACAACATGTTTTGTTTTTAAATTCACATTTTACGGAATATTAACGCGTATTTTCAATTATCTTAAAGTCTGGAAAGCAAATTAAAACAAAACAAAAAAAAAAAATATACAACATGAGTCTCTGACTACATAATTTCATTCATTCACTCATTCATGGGCTAACGATTATTTCCATTCCAAAAAATTATTATACACTTTTGCTTTAGAAATAAATTTATGAAAAAAAAAAATATTTTTGTAGGTTATGTTTACTTATTTTGTAATTTATTTAATTTATGTTTTAATATTACTATAAACTTTTTTGTTGTTATTTAATATTATTTATGTATTAACTTTTTAAAAATATTTAACAAAAAACTAATAAGAAAGTAGGGTATGAGAGAAGAGGCTATAACATATTATTTTCTCGGTTAATTGGTTTATGATGCATATTTATGCCTTTTATTGTTATGTAATAATATGCATTTTGTTGTTATTATTAGTTTCGTTTTTTTACATATCAAAAATAAAGGAATTGTATAAAAAAAGTTTTTTATAAAAACCGTTTTTATTTTTTGTTTCCTAAATAATATTATCATCAGATTTCTTTTGTTTTTACACTCTTTGCTCACCTGTGGTTAAACAGAGAATATTTGTTGTTGTTGTTGGCGCTAAAGTTACCATAGTAGTTGCTGCTGTTGTTGTTGTTACAAGAGTAGTACAGGAGGGAGTAGCAGTAGTAGAAGTGATTATAGTACTAACAGTAGAAGTAGTAATTGTAGGATGACTTGGAGTATAGTGATTTAATTTCTCTAAATTCTTATGATACTGTTTTATATTAATTTTATCGAACTATATTACCGTACCGCCGGGCGGTGCTGTTTGCGTTGGCGATAAATGTTGCGGAACATTCTGAAATAGAAAACGAAAAAGAGATAAGCATCCATTTCAAATCAAGTATTAACACATCTGTATTAAAACACATCAAAGGTAAAAAAATGAAAATAGAAGTAGTTTAAAAATATTGTAAAATACCGGGTGAGATGAAAAAAACTGCAACAAAATTCGGACTGCTGTCATTTCTAAGCCACTAGTCCGACATCTTTTAAAATTATTCCAATGACAGCTCATTATGTTGTTTACAGGCGTACAAAAGCATTTTGGTCCGAATTTTCCAGAAAAAAGTTATTCGTGATGGAATTCCAGCGTAATTTCTTTAAATTTGGCTGGAAAACCACAAGTGGCTATCGTTAGAGCACTCCAGCATTTAAATGTGAATAAATCTTTTGAGTCTCGTACCATCACTCGTTACCGTGATACTTGCAGCGTAGCCCGACGTCAATGAAGTGGACGAAAAAAAAAAACAGTAACATCAGCAGAAATGGTTCGAAAAGAAGCGACTAGATCGAAACCCGCATCGCAGTGGCCGAAAAATTGCTCTTTAGCTTAACATATCACAATATTCCATTCGACAAATATTGAAAAATGAGCTCGGGGTAAAGCCATTCAAGTTCGAAAGAAGTGCAAGAAATTACACCACAACAGAAGAAAATAGACTCAAAAGAGCTAAAGAGTTGCTTCGCTTGGCCGAAAATGGTGAACTGCCGAATTTGGTTTTCTCCGATGAGAAAACATTCCTTGTCCAGCAGTTTGTAAACAAATAAAATGATCGTGTTTACTTGCCGCAGAGGTCAACTGAAAGTGTGCACCTTCGGTTGGCCACCCTCAAGCCCCGGTCATAGTGATGGTGTGGGCCGCCATAACAGCCGATGGATCAGAATAAATGTCGAATATTATTTATATTAAATATATTAAATATTCTGGAGGGTGTATTAAAGTCTTAGGAACGCAAAAATTTTGACCGCAGACCATGGACATTCCAAGAGGACACAGCACCATCACAATGAGTTTCCTCGCTTCATTTCCAGCGAACAATAGCCACCAAAATCTCCGGGTACCGTTGGACTATTGTGTCTGGAGTATTTTTGAAAGCAAGGTTGGCACTAAAAAATACTAAACCTCAAGCAAGTGCTTCGCGCGGAATGGGCCAAAATACGGCAGAGCAACATTCGGGCAGCCTGTGACGGTCTCATTGGCCGTTTGAAGCCCATAATTCGTTCCAAAGGTGACCAATTCGAACAAAACTAAACTTACTCTAAAATTTGATGCTATTTCCGACATCTCTTGCTTTCATTCAATAAAATTTAAAAAAAAAATTAAAAAAGTTAAATCACAGATAAAGGAGGCCACTGTACAAAAACGAACAATAAAGGGCGGTGCTCCAATAATAGGACTCGGGGATCACTTTCCCAACATAAGGACAGAATAGGCAAAAACAATTTCGAACACAGATAAAAGGGTACACTGCACAACAATTAAGAATGAGGCAGGGTCTAGCTGACCTCAAATAAAAGACCTTAGGGAGTAGCTTCCGAATATAGGTCCATATTAGCAAAAAATGTTGACTCAGTATTTTTTGACATTTTTGGATTTTCTGAAAATGTATCCCTCAACTTTGGTAAAATTACAGATAAAAGGACCCAATGTACACGAAATTAGCAATGAGACATGGAGGCTGAACTCAATTGAAATATCTAAGGGAGTATTTTCCGAATATAGGTTCATAAAAGCAAAAGAATTTTGGACTTTTTTGAAGTTTCTGAAAATAAAACGACAGGTAAAAAAAAAACGACCAAAAAAAGGACTGTACCTAGTTTTGCATCAATCGGACGGAGGGAGAGACGACATGCATAAATCAACTCAGAATGTGATTCTATAGAGAGCACGAAAAGGAACTAAAGGTTTCCTTCTGCATGTTACAAGCAAATTCATATTATACGCCGTACCACAGTGTGGTAAAGCCACCCCCGTTTGCCATGTAAAAGTATTTTTGCAATTACGGAGAGTACTCTTTAACACAATGTAACTTGTCATTTGAATACAAAGTAAAACTTACCGTTGAATAACCCGGTCTAGCCCATGTATAAATAAATCCATCCTGACATGCCGTTAGAAAACAATCTTCACGAAATATTAATGCACTCAAACGCTCATGAGCGATCTTTTTGCACACCAACGGCTCCAACAGTGGACACTCATCGAAACGGGGACACGCTGGTGTACCAATCAATTTCAGTGGGTCATATGATGTTATAATTGAATTGGTTGTTGACGATGGCGAGCAATTCGACATGTTGTGTGACAATGAATTGTGGTGATGTTGATGTGACGACGACGATTTGCCCAGCTTGAGAGAACCGAAACTGTGCGACGATGTTGACGTTGAATTTGCATTTGTTTCAATTTGTGTTGAATTTGCCATATGCTGGTGATTGCTATGATGGTGATGATGATTTAGTGTGGAGGAATTATGATGATTATACGATTTGAGTAGACTTAGGGTGCGACGATTCGCCCGTGTACTGCCACCCTCTAGATTTAGAGATTTCTTGTCGGATGAGTTGAGAAATGAGAAATTTGATAGACGTTGGGTTAGCGAGTTGAATGCCGACATTCCCGAATCTGAAGATTTGCTGCTGTTCGATGTTTTGCTATTGTAGCCCGAGGATGAAGAGAGTGTGTTGACATGATTTCCAGTTATGTTACCATCTATTGAGTCCGACTTAGTGGTTGTTATGCAATTAGGAAATTTTATTGACCCTCCACCGCCACCACTGCTACTAATGGCATTTGAAATCGCTTTCGAATTGGCTTTTGTCGACGTGGACGCCGTTACCGAGCTATCGTCGGGTGGCGTATTGGCATTAGAAGATTGCGATGATATCGTACAATTGGCTGTGGAAAATTTACTAGAACTACTATTACTATTTTGTTCTCCTGAAGCTGCTGATGTCTGTGGTGTGGTCGTTATATTGCTGGTCTGCATATCTTTGGTAGGACTACTACAGTGCTGTGGCTGGGGGAAGTTAGGATGGCCTATGGCCACTGGTCGTATGACTTTCACACCATCGGCGTCTGTGCCGCCATTCATAAAACTAGAGTCGTTCAAATTAGAACTATTCACACGCTGGCGCAGGGACAAAGGATGCCTTAGTATATCCTCGGTGATGTCCCACAAACATATTTGAGTGTCTTGACTAACAGAACCCAAACGATAACTTATGGCTAATTTATCTGGAGCCAATGAAGAGGCCTCCGAACGAAATGACGCCGACTGGGGCCTCTGTCGTGTGTGAATGGGCGTTGAGTTTTTATCGTGACCACCCGCAGCTCCACCATACGAATCGTAACCATTCACTGCCGACGACTGATCACCCGCATATCGAGACCCTGCCGTTGAATACTCCATTATTTGATTCTCATCATCCGAAAAGTCTCCACCATCCCACGAGGTATATGAAGTGGTGTATGGGTCAAAAGCCACCACTGAAACCCACGATCTGTGGCCCTGACCCCGGGCCACAACCCGTCGCTCATGAAATGACCACACTGTGACTAAGTCATCTTCCCCACCCACCACAATATATTTGCCATCCGGTGACCAGCATACACATAAAAAACCACCAAAATAGGAACGTGCTATACCCAACAATTCCATTGTGTCATAATGAAACACTCTGAGAAAGCCATCTTGAGATACTATTGCTAAATTTGAACCACATGGTGAGAAGCAAAACTCATTTATACAACAGTTCTCGGTGTTGAAAACCCATTTGTAGAGGGGATTTCTACTCGATTTCGATTTGCAGGTTAGTATTGAGTAGCCATCGCCCATTTTGAAGGACTGATAGACGGGCGCCGTCGGTGGACATTGTAGATTCTCGTTGTATAGATACAGGTGTCCCGACGCGTGTGAGGCCAAAAAGAGATTTGGTGAATTTGGCAGCCATTTTAAGCAGGTCACTTTGGTTTTGTCAATAAGACGCTGTAAAAAGATATCAAAATGCGTTTTAATTAAACGAAATAAATTGTTGATGTTGTATAGACTTACATCTTCATTGTAAAGTTTTCGATATTCACGTGGTCCTGGCTGTGGTGAAACCAATTGTATTTGTCCCGTTGTAAAGCCCACCAGTAAAGGCGCGCCAGTAGGTGTTGCTGTGGTGGCATTAAAATCATGACAGCTAGGATTGGTACCTTTGTAGAATTTCCTATCAATTGGCTTACTTAATTCGGCACCCTGTCGATAGAAGAAAATATGTGTTGATTATTTTCACATTTGCACAAATAATTAAGATTATTTGTTTATAATATAACATTGATTTGCTCAAACTATATATCTACATGTGGCAAAATAGTGCAAAATCTGAATCGATTCCACTAAATTTAGAATTATTTCTACTATATGTGACTTGTCGTAATAAATATAAATAATAAAGAGTGAGGGTCAAACATATGTATAGGAGCAAAATATAAATCTGAACCGTTTTCGACAAAATTTAGAAAACATATTTCTAGGCTGTATCCAAAGTCTTCTACCGAACGTCATTGCGTTTGAGAGTCTTGACTGTCAAATCGATTGTTATAACTATATCAAACGATTTTCATCATATTTCATGAATGAATGCTGTCGTATGTGCCTAAATCTATTCAATTTGGTCCGAAATTACGCATTTGAAATACAATATAAGTGAAATCGGGCGAAGATGTACAGGGTGAGATGAAAAAACTGCAACCAACCTCAGACGGCTGTCATTTTTAAGCCACTCGTCCGACAGCTGTCAAAATTATTCCAGTTGCAGCTCGTTATATTTTTTATACAAGCGTACAAAGGCATTTTGGAGAGAATTTTCCACGATAAAAGTTATTCGTCATGGAATTTAAGCGTGATAGTGTAATTTCTATATATTTGGCTGGAAAACCACAAGTGGCTATCGTTAGAGCCCTCCAGCATTTAAATGTGAATAAATCTTTTGTGCCTCGTTCCATCGCTCGTTACCGTGATACTGGTAGCGTTGCCCGACGTCAAGGAGGAGGACGGAAGAAAACAGTAACATCAGCAGAAATGGTTCGAAATGTAAAGAAGCGCCTTGATCGAAACCCGCGTCGTAGTGGCCGAAAAATTGCTCGTGAGCTGAACATATCGCAATATTCCATTCGGCAAATATTGAAAAATGAGCCATTGAAATTCCAAAAAGTGCAAGAACTTACACCGCAACAGAAAGAAAATTGACTCAAAAGAGTTAAAGAGTTGCTTCGCCTGGCCGAAAGCGGTAAACTGCCGAATTTGGTTTTCTCCGATGAGAAACCATTCGTTGTCTAGCATTTTGTAAACAAACAAAATGATCGTGTTTACTTGCCAAAGAGGTCAGCTGATCGTGTTTACTTGCCAAAGAGGTCAGCTGAAAATGTGCACCTTCGGTTGGCCATCAAAATTCAAGCGCCGGCCGGTGATGGTGTGGGCCGTCATAACAGCCGATGGTCACTCTCCGTTCGTAATAATCGACCGTGGCATCAGAATAAATGCCGAATATTATCGCGAAAATATTTTGGAGGGTGTATTTAAACTTTGGACACACGAACATTTGCGCCGCAGACCTTGGACATTCCAACAGGACTCAGCACCAGCACTCAGCACGCGCCACCCAAGAATGGTTATAAAATGAGGTTCCTCGCTTAATTTCCAGCACACAATGGCCACCAAAATATCCGGATACCAATCCTTTGAACTATTGTGTCTGGAGTATCTTGTAAAGCAAGATTGGCACTAAAAATACCAAAGTGTGAATCGCCTCAAGCAGGCGCTTCGCCGGGAATGGGCCAAAATACCGCAGATCAACATTTGGGCAGCGTGTGATAGTTTCATTGGCCGTTTCCCAAATATTTTGCTATCATTCAATAAAATTTAAAAAAAAAAAAAATTAAAAATTATGGCGTTTGACTTTTTTGCAGTTTTTTATCTCACACTGTATATGCTTTCATTGTAGTATGATATTGTGATACAGTTCCGCACACCAGGCTGTATCTTTTCAATCGCCCTGCCACACCAACCCATATATGTTTAAAGATTATGAAGGTAGCCGAGCTTTTAAATTTGGGATTGGAACTACAACCAGATTATTAAAACTCAACACCCAGCATGTTTTTGCTGTTATAACAACAAAAGATGTAGGAAAAGACCTTTAAATCAGAAGAGATATCAGGAAGGATCTGAACAGTTTTCCGAGCCAATAGATTAACAAAAATTTGGTGTTACATAAAACTAAAAATATCCCAAATGCAAAGCAAGGAGGGCATTTAAAATGTGACATAAATTGTGAAATCTTTTTCATTCCTAAGGAATGGATTGGTTTAAAAGGAAATATTATCTGAAATTAATAAAACGCGAATGAATACTGAGTAACATACCACAACTGCAGCAGTAGCAACAACAGAAACATGTGAGCCATTCATGTGTCACCAAACATTTAACAAAGTCATATTCAATTAACAGTGTGTTATGCAAAAACAAAACTGGGCTTTTTCTCCACATTGTGTGTACTTCGAACCAGATATCAGTCAGTGTGTCAATCTGTATATCAAACCTTTATTGCAAATGTAAATGAACATATGTGTGTACAAATGTATACAAATTGTATGTGAAAAGATTGAGTATAGCTATGTAGGTACGTATGTTCACTCTAACAACATACACACACATAGCGAACCAAAATAAATAAATCCTTTTTGCCACCTTTGTGTAATATCACATCTCTTTTGACAAGACTTTTGTGATGATGACTTTTGGACAGCTTGATGAACTGAATATTTTTCTCTGCTTTTGTCGTTGTTCGAGGCATCTGTGCCAGATTTAGATGTACATCCACATTTAGTAAATAGAATCATATAAATGATATGCAGAAAAAAACGTTGCATATCAATTTAGAAATAGTCTATGAAGTTCTCTTTGATGGGAGGGAATGAAGAACACCGTAGCTTATAAAACGCGATTATTAAAATTTCTTATATTAAATCTAGATATTCAACTTTCAATTGAAATCTAATAGTCACTTGGAAATAATAAATATTTGGTTTTCGTTCATTCCAAAATCATTCGAAGACAAGAAAAATATCAAACTGTAGGATACACTTGAACTTCGAACAATTAACAAGCTGTAGAAAGAAAACTAAACGAGCAATCGAATTAACAATCCCTCCCTCAGTATGATGCCGGTATTAAATAAGCAGAATAGAAATGTATATATCATTATGTCTGTCATAGATATTAATTCTATTTTGCAGCTTCAGAAATCCCCATTGTTCCTTAAGCGTGAAGTTTCTTTTCCTTGTGAGCCAAGGTCTGAAAAACTTTACCCACAAAGATGTGACTGCACCCATTTGGCTCTTAGGAGAATCCATTTATGATATTGTTGTTGTAACTTTAGTATATTGCGTGTGGTGTTCAGCAAATCCTCAAATTTAACAATTCAGCTAGCTTTATATGTTGTAGCCAAATATCTTCAAGAGTAAATTGAGTAGTTTATAGTAGTAAGCAGGCCTCTATGACATGCTGGAGAGATGTTTCGTATAATTTATTCAATTAACACCCAATACAAATCAAGACGGCTGGATAGGGTTTGGATTCTGGGGATGACATTCAGCATCGGTGTCTGCATCATTCATTCTTTATGACGCTGGATCATTAGGTCCTTCCTTATCCACCCTATAATTGTTTAAATGACGTCCAAGCAGGCTTTTTAACTTTTGTTGTTATAACAACCAATACATGCTGGGTGTTGAGTTCTACTAATTGGTTTTAGCTCCAGCTCCAAATTTAAAACATGGCTACCTTTATAGGCTTTAGCCTATATTTGGGATTCAGTTGGGTAGGTTTCCCAGGGCAACTGAATGCATACAGCATAGTGTGCAGCCCTCTATAACATGCCGGAGAGACGTTTCACACATTTTTTTAAATTCGCACCCGATACAAATCAAGACGGCTGGATGGGGTGAGGACTTGTGGATAATTAGGTTGAGTCTTCGACTAATGGGCGAGTGGATATGAGTGAAGCAGCCACATTGTGGTGCAGGGTATTATGTCTTAATGTTAAGCCTCCTCAAAATCATGATATGTACTCTATATCGTTGATATTTGGTAAGAGAATCACATGCAATAGAATTAGAGGATATCAGATATAGTGGAAGTTATTTCAGATTAAGATATAGCTGTCATATATACTAGTTCAACCTGACTTCACCTTTTAATCATCTCAAAGTTGTAATATGAACTACTAAATATGCCAAGTCGCTTTTTATATGTGTCCCTCTTAGCATTATTAATTAAGCTGGAGTGGGAGAATATATGGTCTCCCTTCTCACAAACCAAGAGACCAGCCAAATTTCAAAGAAATTTTCTTATTTTGCTGCCAAACCCAGTCATTTTTTAAGCTAGAAATGTGTTTGATTTTGATTCTTCACCTTCCCTCCCCCTTCCGATTGACAGTAGAACGTGTATCTAAACTGTGGTCAATGACTTATCCATTATTGATGGGAAAACATCATCTAACCTGTTATGCGTCGCGTCTACGGAGCCTTTCAAGAGTAATATTACATTATCCACCGGAACCTGGAATATTTACTTCTTATATGTCACGTTCATATGTATTTTTTCATATAAATTCTGTAAATTTCTCACTAAGCTACTTTTAACGTAACCATACCCAAGCTAATCACAAGTGTTGCTCTTTGTGTTTTTAATTTATTTACAATTTGAACCGCCGCTGTCGCTACTATTGTTGCTCTTCCTTTTTTTTCAACAATTTAATCAAATGATAAGATAAACTAAACAAAATGGTTTATATAGAGTATCTCATGTGCATAGACAAGTTCATAATTGCAGTCGTTAGAGACACAAATAAAACGAACGCGATTGTTATTTAATTTGCAGCAATAACTGAAGTATGCATCTGTATACAGTATCCCGATAGGAAATTATGAAAGAGTGAAAAAAAATTTTGCACTAGATAAAGCATACCAATGTTGGCCTTGAGGAATACTCGAATGAAGCTTTTGTTTGACATGAAGTTGGCCTTAGGTTAGGTGAGGTACAATCAGAGGCTACACGAAAAGGAACTTGTCGAAACCTTTTCATCAAACAGAGTTAAGGTGTGGGTTCATAAGCAGCTTGGCATCATGGCTAGGCTTATTAATTTCAAATTATAAGGAAAAACGACGGCAGTATCCAAGTGCGGCCTTTGTGATATATCACAAAATATGCCATGTGAAGACTTTAAGCTGCTTATGTACCCATACATTTAATGTTCAAAAACTCAGCAAGAGGAATACTACCATATTTGTCCCACCTATTGTGGATGGTGTGGATGGAAACTCTGCACAGAAACCAAATCGTTATTCTAGCAAGATAAAATCTTGAATCCCATGAATGTCGTTATGGGCAAAATCGGGACTTCCCCTACTACTACACGTCTTTTACAGTTGCATTGAAAAAATGTTGATGCATCAACTATTTTAGTCGGTAAAGCTCACAATTGCTAATATTTTAGATTGGGCTGGAAAGTTAAGCAAATCACGTCAATGGCTGCAAACAAAAAACTGATTGCTTTGTCATAGAATCAAAATGGAGAATTCTAGGCGAGTATTTTAAGTAAAGATTTCTATCTATAGTATCTATCTTAAGTGTCAAAGAAATATTCAAAAGTTAGATGATGAACACGGGCCCATGTAGGCATTCAGATGGTCAATCTTAATCTTAATGTTAGGTGTGGCTGTCAAAAAACAAGTAAACATGAAGTGTGGCATGGATGAACTTTTAGCACCCTCCATCATGAGGAAAAGAGGGCCTTAAAAAATAAAAGTACCGTGAATTCCTACGTTTTTACTATAAATTGAACCTACAATTGGTTGGGTTGTCAAATTTGATTCCGTTGAAAATGTTGATTTATATCAACAAAATATCGAATATCAGGAGGCATGATTATATGGGGGCTATAGAAAATCTTGGACTAAAAAGGTAACCTTGTTGATCTCTTATAAGACGATGAGTCGGTTCTTGGTTAGCTAAGCGGCTCCAGTGTAGTCTGCGATACTAGTGCTGCGCAAAGGATGAGGAATAATACCTGAAAAGAATTCTGCCCGAGAACTGCAAGACGATGCCTCCTTATGACATCAATGCAATATCGACATGAGAAGGGGAATGTTACTCCCCTACGTCATCATAAATACATGCTCTCGGTGCAGTAAATATCTGTTGGCGTGTCAGGAAGGATCTACACGAGCTAGAGAGTGAGGTCAAACGTTATAAAGGAGAGCTTTTATATCAAAAATCCTATCAAACGGGTCTAAGTGGAATATCGCCATAGGAATTCACCCCACATCCATTGCTTACAAAAAAACGATGATAGCCTAGACAAACCAGTGTAGATTTGGACTACCTACGTTCAGGTTGATGCAGTCGTCTCAATTGGTAAAGGTCGCGAATAGTTTAATATGTGCTAAAAGCACAATAGACTGCATCTCTTCAATGGTCCTGCCAAACCTATCCAACACTACTAGTAAAAAATTGTGTCGATAGATAATTGAAATATAATTGATTTTAACCCAAAAACACGACTTAGAAACATATTTTTCATTCTTTTTATATTTTTTATGAAATGTTGTTCCTTCTTTTACTTTTTGACAAATCCTACTCTTTAGTAATATTATTGCAGCTAGACACTGTAGTTTGCTTTTTTCCGGAAACTACTATGTACATCTATTTACATTTATAAACTGATAGTGTTCGAGGAAAATTTGGAATAATTTCAAGAAAACTTAACTTTTTTGTTAGTCTCTGTGCCAGCCAGATTTGTTATCATCCACAATTACATTTACAGATAAGATAGTTGGTATACCTAATTGAACTTGTGTCGTTTCATTTTGGATGCTAACGACATGGCATTGTCTAGTTAGGTAATCTTATGAAGCAATTATAAAGGACCACTTTAAACGTTTAATAATATGAGATTATTAATGACGTCTGTGGCACTATTTGATAAACTACTAAGGTTTATTTCGAAAGCATACAACCAATACACTTATGGAGAAGTTTTTAAAAATTTTCTATATTCTTGCAGCAAAGTAGACCTTTTTAAAGATTAAAGATTTTCAAGTCGTATCGTAATGCAGTAATACGTTTAGTTTTTAAAATTTTGCTATTTTCTTGTAGCAAAATAGTCAGACATAGGGTAAGTGTACCAGTAGTCGGCACTTTTAGGATTTTCGCGTTTTTAATCGCTCACCATTCTGAGTGGAACATTTCAATTATTACAAAGTTAATTTATTCAGATTCGAAATTTTGTGTAGTTTTTGCAATACTAAATAAAGTTTTAATAACTTTTTATTAAATTTCATAAATTTGTAGTTTTATTAAAACAATGCTTTTTTGCCAGTAGTCGGCACCACTTGCCAATTGTCGGTATGGCATTTTCCAACAGTCGGCATACCAATTTTTTGTAAGAATAATTAATAATAATAATAAATTAATTCATTAAAATATAATATTTTTGTTTAGTTAAACTGATTCGACGTCTTTATTGTACTTTTCTTAAAAATATGAATTGTTGAGGACCTTCACAGACAAACATTTAATTTTTATTAGAATAATTCATCTTTTCTTTGCGAAATTGTACACAGAGATAGCTGACAATATATTTGAAGTAAACAAAATACATTTAGTTATAATAGTTTCATTTATTTGGGCTTAAAAATAAAAAGTGCCGACTACTGGGACATGCCGAACTTAGGCACACTTACCCTATATGCCCTTTTTAAAGATTAAAGCTTTTCAAGACATATCGCAATGTAGTAATACGTTTTAGTAACGCATCTTATTGATAACTTGGCAATCTATATCTAAGCGAAAAACGTTTTAAGGGTCATATGTGAAAACATATTTAAGTCGACCGATAAAGCCACCACAATATTTTATAAATTAATAAGTTTAACAGATAGAGCTAAATGTGGGAGAAATCAGCCTCTATAAACAATCATTCCTAGTGACCTCATCACATTCTAAACGTATCCCTAATTTTTCAATGCAACTAATTGTGACAGACAAAGTACGGCTTTTCTTTTCTTGGGCCATTTAGATAATCCCGATATTTGTCAGGTTTCAATAAAGGTCAAGCGATACTTGAAAGTCATCATATTCCTGCAAACATAGAAGCAGCTGCTGACGTTTGAAACTTCTTCGCCTTGGCTACAAATCAACAACTATGAGGATTTTTATACCTGACAGCCTCAATGTTTCTTTGAGACAGACTTTTCTAGCAGTCAAAAGCATTTTTTATTTTTATTGTTAAACGAATTACAGAGTTAAAAATCCAATATAGTTTCTAATCCAACCTTGAAACGCGGATAAACAAAAAAAATAATTTTGCAAAAAATATATATCTGATACAACACTTACCTTCTTTACACCACGAAATGCATAGACATATAATTCTCGGCCGAAATTGAAACATATGCGATCACCACCCAACACCTGGTTTACAGGCATACCATTCTGATCGATACCACCATTAGCACCACCGCCCACACCACCGGACCCATTCATCATGGTGTGCATTGACATGCCGGCACCCAAACGTGCATCCATTGATGAGGGTACAACATACTGGGATTGCGATGATAATACCGGTCCATTCAGTGACGATGACGATTGCAGGCCAACATCATAGGTATCACCACCATTTGCTGAACTATTATTATTGCCACCAGCTCCATTTGAAGATGTGGTCGCTGTTGATGATGATGAATTGCTTACGTTGACGTTTCGACCATTTGTACCATTTACAGGATTTGCAGAAGAGCCGGCCCCCGCCAAGGAACCACCATTACCATTACTAGCAGCGCCAGCCGGTGGATTTGGCAAGGTAACAATCGAAACTCGCACTTGTGGTGAACTCTGATTATTGGTATAGCCACACGATTGGGTCGTGAGTACTCGGAGAGGGTAAGAAGTCGATAGGTACCCTCTCGTGTTATAAACTGTGTCTTCAGGTCATCTTTGACATTAGGATCCAGTTGCGTTGCCATTACGGCAACTTTTATTTAGAGGGGGAAAATATGATACCTAGTCCACCTTCGTACTTTTGCGACTTCTTAGGTTCTGTTGTTTTTCTCTTGTTCGCCGTCAGCAACTTTTTGTAGTTGGTTTCGATCGGTATTTGCTTGATGGGCCGTTTCGATTTGTTTTTGTTTGTGTTCAATAGATGCCCTTTTTCTTTTCTTTCTCTTGGCCACTTCGCTATTCAAAGGGAGTTGGCTTTTACAATTTTTATTCACATATTAAATTATTTGGCATTTTAGAAGCTTACTAATCTGCTTTTTATGTTTTTTTTCTTTCCAGATAATTATAATTAATCTGTGATAGCAGCTAAATAGAAAAAATTGCATTTACACACACATACTTTGGCTTACGCAGCACACATTATTGAGTAGAAGTGGGGAGAAAAATCATCCATCACACAACACACACACTCACACATGACCAAAGGAATCTTGTTTTCTATATTTTGTTGTTGTTGTTTTTTCACGGGTTCCGATAAGTGGGTGTGGAGATATATAGTAAATTTTTGCGTAATTTTCCACAATAACTCGGCTTAGAATTTTCTTCAAATTCTCTTAACACATTTCTAGTTTTGCTCTTGGGCTTGTTTTGCAATCTATTTTTACATTTTTTCACATTTATCTTGTTACTTGTCCGTCAATGAGAAAAAAATTGATGTTTTTTCTTCTACGTTTGACACACACTCTCGGTGTTTTTCGACTTGTTTCCAGTGCTCGTTTGTTAATAATTAACACGTTTTAATTGGTTTTATTGTTAGAGGAAAACTAGGTATTGATTATTCATTGCGGATTTGCATTTTCCTGTTTTCTATTAAATTTTTAATTCTAAAATTTCTGCACTTTTTAACTTTTCTTTTTATCTCCATCAACCACATAAAAAATATATAATTGTCAATCAGCTGCAGAGTTGCCGTTGTGTCCAAAGTTTGACAAGGGTTTTCGATTGTTTACATTTTCTTGTGTACCAAATCTAATTGGATTTGTGGTATTAGAGGAAGTGTACGATCAAATTGGTATTGCCATGCTCTGTTCCATGGTCGAATGAAGGAGGTAAAGTAATGCAATCATATGTTTATCATTTTTTCAAAATTATTTATTTGACATCTCATTATCAATATGCATATGTATAAATCCATTTTACATACACAAACCAGAGATGGGAACCTGTTTTTTATGTAGTGAAATGTGACAAGGTAAATTACAGAAAATGCAGATTTGGGTATGCTTATTTGAAATGATTTTACCATCTTAATTTTAAAAATGTATGTTCCATGGAAAAATTAAAAAGGTAAAGTCGTTTCGAATAAGGATATGCTTATCTTTGCATGTTCTGTATTTCTTGTCAAATTTTACTACATAGAAATTAGGCTCCCATCTCGGATTTGTGTATATTTCGATTTATAAATATGCATTTTGAAAATAAGATGTTGTCAAGAGAATAATTAAAAAAAATTGACATATGATTCTAATTCTACCATGTTTTTACGCGAAATATATATATATAGAGCTGAATCCCATCTTTACGTCAGATTTTGTGTATACAGACGTGCTGGGATGTGCAAAGTTTTGAAAGGTTTATGAGTGTACAACACCTCCACCCGTTTTGGTTGAGGCGCAAGAAGGATCCGTTTTTCATACCAAATTTCGTATTGGTAGAAATATTGGGATGTGTGAAATTTGAAGAAAATTCTCTCTCTACTTTTTATATTATTATTCAAATGTTGGGGAGAAACCAGAAGCATGTGTCCCATCTCCACAAATATTAGTAGTTATTTTGAAACATGGTACAATAAAAAGGTACGGTAGATATACCAGCTGATTACAATTTTTCTTCTAAGTGTACCCGACTTCTGCCAATTTTGTGTATGTATATTTTGGTTGGTTTTCAAAACGAATGACCCAAAAAAATGTTGTGTTGTTTTTATCAGAATAAAAACACCGACTTTCGGTAAGAATTTTCAACTTATGTCACATATTTTGGGCGAATTATGATTGGTGGCGGCTACGTAATACCTTTAACCATTCTGAATATTTGCAAAAATTTATTAATTATTTGAATGGTTTATAAATGTAAATAAACAAGTCTTGTCATGGTAGAAGAATATAGGTAGACGCATCGACACAGCTGATGCGACAATGAACTGTCAAACCAAGTCTGGAATTGAATAGGTTGAATAAAAAATTCTTGTTAAAATTAAGAAGATAAAGTCTTTTCAGATAAGCACTCCCAGCTCTGCATTTTCTGTAATTTACCTTGTCGAATTACATGTCATTGAAAACAGGTTCCCATCTCTGATTTGTATGTATACAATGGATTTATCAATGAAAATTTTGACAATGAAATGTTGTCAATTGAAATAAATTGTTGAAAAACCCATATTATAATAATCTCCGAATGACGTCGTATAAGAAACTATAATATATATCAGTGTTCCCAATTGTTGATGCATCTACCTGTATTCTTCTACCATGAGTCTTGTTTTTGTTGTGACAGTTCATATGAACGATTGTATTTGACAAGCTCATTCACAGAAAATGCAAAGATGGAAATGCTTATTTGAAATAACTATGCCTTCTTGGTTCTACCATGTTTAAACCTTTAACTAAAAGTTAAAAGTTAAATTAATTTATCTGTTCCAGAACCTGTTGGAATCTACAAGTTTTGTAATTTTTTCGCTATCATAAAGGAAAAATCGGCAAAAACTTTTACATTCTCACAGTTCCGGAACAGAACAATTGTTTGCAATTTTTCACAATTGTACAAATTATTTTATATATTACTCTGATCGTATGCATTCGGGACGTTTTATGTAAAAACTGAAAAATTAAAACTTTAACATCTAGGTCAATCATTTGATTTCTGTTCTTTTACGTGAAAGAATGTTTTACTCGAAAATTGTTACTTTACACAAAATAAAAACATAGTTCAAAGAGAGCCTTGTTTACACAAAAGGAACAAAATACTTGTGTACATTTAATCGCCTGGCTATTTTATCAAATACGAGTAAGAAGTAAAACCAATATTATAAACAACACACGTGTACCTGAGTATTCCCCTTTACAACTTTACCCATGACACAATGAAATAAAGGTAACCTCATTTCAAATTAGCATTCCCACCTCTGCATTTCCTGTAATTTTACTTGTCAAATTTCAATGCATGAAAAACAGTTCTCATTATGAATATAAATTTTGACTATGATATGTCAAATATATACATTTGAAAAAATTGTAAACTTATGATTACATGACTTGACCTTCTTAGTTCTACCCATGGCAGAAGAATACAGGTAGATGCATCAACGCTTGGGAGCATTGATATGTCAAAAATTGAAAAATTGAATGTTTGCTCAAATATAAGTCGATTTTTATATGTTTTCTTATACGACGTTATTCGGAGGTTATTATAATTCGCGTTTTTCAAAAATTTTTACAAATTTAAATAATTTTTCATTCAACATTTTCAATTCCAAAATTGGTTTGACAGTTTATTGTCCCAGCAGCTGTGTCGATGCGTCTACCTTTATTCTTCTACCATGTCTTTACTTATAGTACGTTTATATATATGAGGGTTAACCCACTGGATTTGGATTTAAATTGTCATACCCATTACTTTTACTTCAAATAAATCCTCTCAAAGTAGGTTAACCCTACAAAAAGTTCTAACGTAAACATGGCATTATAATCTTTCAGGTTTTGTGACATACTTCATTTTCTTATCCTGTGTAAATGCTTGGTAAAATCTAATCAGCTGAGCTACAATTTTCACCACTACATTATTTTTTTCAGTGTACACAAATGACATTTGACGTTTAGTCTTTTTTTGTTCCACTTTGACGTTTGTTTTTTTCTCGGTGGTTGTTTATATAAGGTGTGTCTGGTTACTTTTCCTGCAGGAATTGTCCAGCAACATCTTTCTGAGAGAGTAAGATAGTTTTATTCTCTTTTGCAAGAAAATTGCGAAAAGTAAACAGACGGTATTCCTGCAGAAGCTTGCAACTAATCAGCTGATTTGTCAAAACAAACCAATTTGTCCCCCATAAGGAGAATTAAAACAAAGGAAGCAATACTAATTTTACAAGTTTTTTAAATAAAAATGTTGGAAATAGTCTTTTATTTTCTTATTACATATTAACATTTACGTTTTTCACATTAGTCTAGTAGTCTTGCTAATTCCAAAACAATATTTTCAAATTAAAATCCCAAAAAGAAATAAATAAACAATAGAAAACATCTGATTGAATGTCGATGAATGAGAAGAAGAAGAGTTGCAAGAGATTGCAAGAAGAATTTTTTCCAGCAAGAATTTGCAAACTCTCACTGAAAGAACTGTCAAAATTTCTCTCTCCAACCGCTCTCTTTTGCAGAACTTTTGGGTTAACAGACGACTTCCAGTAACAATTTGTAACAATTGTTACAAACTTTAGGGTAACCAGACACACCTATAGTAAAAAATTCGGTAATAAGAGGATTGGTCAAATCGTTGCAGAAAAAATTAATTTGCGAAGAAAAAATCCAAATAATTAATTAATAACCACTTAGCAATTAAACTGAAAGAATTAATCAATAAAGGAATCGGTCCACTTGCTATCTATAAATAAACCAATTATATCGGAGGAGGTACGTTTGATGGAGCGATTGAAATTTTCATATTTCTGAATCATCGGGCCTTTGGAAAGTTACTACTACTGCTATCCTTTCTTCATTGTCGTGTGGATTTTAATGGATTCCTTGTATATAGTGTGAAATTATTATAAGCAATATACAATTATAAACTAGTAAGTCTTCATCAAGTTAAGGAAAATACAATTGCCTAAGATATTGATGTACATTTTGTTATACTATATGTTAATTTTTCCTTTTTTGCACTTTGTATTTATTTTATGTATTTTCAATTTTTATTTGTATTTTGTTGTTGTAAGTTAATGTTCTAAAGCTTAAGAAAGGGCTTAGTATAGAAGAGGTCATGGTAGTATAGTAGCTAGCATAAAATGCAGACCCTTTTTGCGATTACATACGACATTTGAATACATAAAAGTTTTTCTAAAATTCGCAAAATAATTTCGTAGTTCCTTCATTTACTGGTAAAGCAGTTTTTTTGTTGTCGTAAATGGTTTCCCACTTACCTTTGCCATTTCTGCTTCAAGGCATTAATTAAAATGCGACAATCTAAAAATAGATTCGTCCTGCGCCACATTTATTTTTCAATAATATGCGACTGCCTTCGACCTAATTTGAAAGATGACCAAAGCAAAACTTTTTATCCATCTAGAGAAAATATTCTTCTCGAAACAAAGTATGGATTTAAATGTTTTCTAAGGAAAAGGGATCCAAAATTTGAATAGATATACCTGGAACGTACAGGGTGATATAAAAAAACTGCAATAAAGTCAAACGCCATAATTTTTACACCTTTTTTTTAATTTTATTGAATGAAGGCAAATAATGTCGGAAAAAGCATCAAATTTTAGAATAAGTTTAGATTTGTTCCTATTGGTCACCTTTGATACGAATTATGGCCTTCAAACGGCCAATGAAACCGTCACACGCTGCCCGAATGTTGCTCTGCGGTATTTTGGCCCATTTCCGGCGAAGCGCTTGATTGAGGCGATCGACACCTGGGTATTTTTTAGTGCCAACCTGGCTTTCCAAAATACTCCAGACACAATAGTTAACGTCGCATAATAGTCGCCATAATATTCGTCATTTAATCTGATGCCACGGTCGATTAATACGAGCGGAGAGTGACCATTGGCCGTTATGGCGGCCGACGCCATCACCATGGACGGCACTTGAGTTCTGGTGGCCAACCGAAGGTGCACATTTTCAGCTGACCTCTTTGGCAAGTAAACACGATCATTTGTTTGTTTACAAACTGCTGGACAACGAATGTTTTCTCATCGGAGAAAACTAAGTTCGGCGGTTCACCACTTTCGGCCAAGCAAAGCAACTCTTTAGCTCTTTTGAGTGTATTTTCTTTCTGTTGCGGTGTAAGTTCTTGCACTTTTTGGAATTTTAGTGGCTTTACCCCGAGCTCATTTTTCAATATTTGCCGAATGCCTTTGGAAAGTTGGATGCATTTTTTTCATCTCACCCTGTATATCTTCATCCGATACCAAGTTTATTGCGCATCAAGTGGGTAATATAAACCCGTCGAACTCAATAGATTTAGACATATGCGACTGAACTTAGCTTGGAAAAAGGTGTGTCAAATTTGGTGAAAATCGGTTGAGATGTAGCTATAGTTCCCATATATATTTTTCATCCGATTTGCTATTTTGGTTTTTGCTGTCATTGATATCTTATATTCGTTGTCATCCATCAGATATAGCATAGAAATACTTCTGCTAATTGTTTATACCCTCCACCATAGTAAGGAGGATATATTTAGTTTGTCACTCCGTTTTTAACACCTCGAAATATAAATTTTAGACCCCACATAAAATTCTATGTTGATTTAGCGATGTCTGTTCGTCTGTGGAAATCACTCTAGCTTCTGAACGAAATGAAGTAGATTGATAAAATTTTATTCAAATGTATATTATGTCTGCAGGACTTTTGGTATTGAAAATGGGCCATATAGGTCCACGTTTTGGTATAGCACATTCGGTATTTTCATGATTTTAGCTACATTATTCACCGGAACTGTTTCGAATTTGGTGTTTGGTTGGCCACGTCTTCTTATAGCCCCCATATAACCGCACCTCCCCATATTCGGTATTTTAATGGTTATAGCGGCATTATTCCCCGGAATTATTTTAAATTTGGTATTTGAAATTCGTTATGGATACTACAGGCTATGACGGAAAATTGTCTTTGCAGGTCCACGTTTTGGTATAGCCCCCATATAACTGTACCTCCCTATATTCGGTATTTTCATGATTTTAGCTTATTATTTACTGATTTTTTTTCAAGTTTCGCATTTGAATATTGTACATCGTCGTATAAACTTTAATATAACGGCTACATTCGGTATTTTTATGATTTTAGCAGAATTGTACAGCTGACAGCTTTTTTACTCGTTTTAGAAATCCATTCAGAATTGGGTATGTCTCCCATATATTTTTCATCTGATTTCATGTTTATTGTGTACCGATGATGGATTTTGTTGAAAATTGGATTAGATATAGCTAAACTCCCAAATATATTTTTTTATAATTTTTTTTTAAATTTCTCAAAGTAGACAGATCTTAAAATATTATTTGGATTTTTAGCGAAAAGGAAAAGCTTTATATGTCTTTCATGTTAAAAAAGGGATGTTAAAAACATGACCATGACCGAGGGGTTTATACATAGATATTGATTAATATTTTTTAATCTATTTATATTCTTTATGTTTAAGAGTTTATTTGGTTTGGTGTTATTAATTATTAATAATATTTGTTTATTTTTTTATTTTTCAAATAAAGAAAATTCTTAAATTTACTTTTGTTTTTTATTTCCGTTTTTTTTCTTGGTGGCTATGTATGTATCCTTTTTTGTAATGCCTTTGCAAATGCTTTTAATTCGAGTCTTTTGTACAGCATATTTGGTAAAATTGCACAATAGATATTTTGCACCTGCGGGAGAACTTTTTTGATTAAAAAGCTCTTTGAAAAATTTAAGCAAATATGCTTTTGGTTTCAATCTTTTCCTTGTTACTACTTAACTTTTTTGCTTCCCAAAAAATGTGCAAAAATCAAAAAATTGATAGAAATACATAATTTACTGAGGTACTTCTTATGTTCCAAGCACGATTTCTTTTGTTTTTTTTTGCTTCTTTCCCCCCACTTTTAGTTGCATTCGTTGGTGGTTCTTTCTTTGAGATTTTCATTTCAATGTGCATAAATAATTGTGAAAATGTTAATCCATTATTATATTCTTAATTCAATACAGATCCGTATACATAGTTAAGTACCAAAAAATAATAAAACTCCTTGCTAGAATTCGCTATAAAATTGGCAAAGAGAATTAAAAAAAGAGACATTCATTCAAAAATGGAGGACAGAAAATCATCAAGATCCGAATCGAAATCGCGTACATCATCGAGCAAATCATCCAAATTATATTCTAGCAAGTATGGCGAACGTAGCAATAGCCGTGAAAGTTCCATGGCCATGCAAAAATATAACCCCAATATGCGTTTCATACGAAAAAGTGTGGAAACGCCCGCACGCAATGTTACCACAAACTATTTGGAATTGGAAACAGAATTTCCTCGAGATTACGATGACAACATTGAAATGTTATCGCGTGAAGCTGAACATCTGGAGGAACAGTTTCGTACACCCACACGTACCAGCAATACAGATTTAACGGGTGTTGAAATTATAAGGCCAGTGACACCAACACCGACGCGTATTGTCAGACCAGAGGGTGTTGAATTGAAACTACGAGAATCTCCCAGTACACCGGAAAAAGAATCGAAATCAACGCGCGGTGTAAAACACTCGAAACGTGTAGGGTTTAAGGTTGAAGAGAAGCTGGAGGAACAAGTTGCTGAATGTAGTGTAGTGGCAAAAGGTACCTCGAAATTGTCGCGTGTTGAAGATGGTGGCGCGAAAGATGTGGGCCCGGAGGAGCGAGAAAAACAAAAATCGAAGGAAAAATCCCAAGATGAGCAACAACAAACCAAGGAAAAGGAAGGAGGAGTAGAAGAAGAAGAAAAGGGACAAGAGCTGAAATCGGAAACATCCACTACCACAACAGATGGGCCCTCGGAGACCACAGTCGCTGATGCTGAAAGTCCCCAAACAGATTCACAGAAAAATAATCTGCAAATACCAAAAATAGCCACAACAACAACATCGTCAAGTGCTCCCGCTACTCCTGTGCCGGTCTCAACATCAACCACATCCACAATTTCAACAAAGGATGATGACGATGAGCCGGTGGCCATGTCACCTTGTGGTCGTTTCTTTAAATACGACAAAGAAGTGGGTCGAGGAAGTTTCAAGACAGTCTACCGTGGCCTGGACACTGAGACTGGTGTGGCTGTGGCCTGGTGTGAATTGCTCGACAAACAGGTGAAGAAAAGCGAAAGGAAACGTTTTCGCGAAGAGGCCGATATGTTGAAGAAGCTACAACACCCCAATATCGTACGTTTCTATACCTATTGGGAGTTTAGCGTTGCCCGCAAGAAAAATATCGTTTTGGTCACAGAGCTAATGCTTTCTGGCACCCTGAAGTCCTATTTGAAACGTTTCAAGAAAATCAATCCCAAAGTCTTGAAGTCATGGTGTCGTCAAATACTCAAGGGTCTGCATTTTCTGCATACCCGACCCCTGCCCATTATACATCGTGACTTGAAGTGTGACAACATTTTCATAACCGGCACCACGGGTAGTGTAAAAATCGGTGATCTGGGTCTGGCCACTTTGAAGAATCGTTCACATGCCAAATCGGTAATTGGCACGCCGGAATTTATGGCACCCGAAATGTATGAGGAACATTATGACGAATCAGTGGATGTGTATGCCTTTGGCATGTGCATGTTGGAAATGGCTGTCTCCGAATATCCCTATAGTGAGTGTAAGGGTCCGGCCCAGATTTATAAGAAGGTTATATCCGGTATCAAACCGGCGGCCTTAACCAAGGTGGAAGATCCCAAGGTAAGGGAGATTATTGAGAAGTGCATAGAACTCAAAAAGGAGGATCGTCCGAAATGCAAGGATCTGCTAAATTCTGAGTTTTTTGAAGAGGACATTGGCATTCGAGTGGAACCTACCTCCACTGAGGCCTTTTTGGAAAATCCCAACAATAATGTCATCGAATTTCGTCTACGTTTCCTAGATCCGAAAAAACGCTCCTCGAAACACAAAGAAAACGAGGCCATACAATTCGAATACGATGTGGTCAACGACGATTGTGAACGTGTCTGTGATGATATGATGCAGGAGAACCTGATTACCGAAGAAGATGCCCGAGCCATTGTGCGTTTGTTGAAGGTGCAAGTATTTTCGCTGCTCAAAGAACGGGTCCAACGTCAAACTCAGTTCCAGTTGCAAAATGAAAAATCCCGTTTGGAGAAAATTGCTCTGCAGAAACAACGTGAAATGTTGCCGGAAAATGTGGAAGAAGAAGAGGAAGAAGATGAAGTGGACTCGGAGGAAGATGAGGATGGCACCAAGGCTAGTCAAAAGCAATCGAATCATATGCATACGGGAACGGGAACGTCACAGCTTGTTGGGGATCAACAGCAATCTCAGTTGCCACTGAATGATCCAAACCGACCTCAAACATATTTACAATTCCAATCGACACCCATATCTTCGTCTGGGTCACAGGAGGATCAGATAACATCACCCACCACAAATACGGCACCCACAACACAGCCGCAATTTTATAATTCTAGTCAAATTTCATTGGCCAATTCTTTAAATGCCATATTACAACCGGCCAGTCAGCCGGGTCAGAGCTATTCCCAACCACAGGTACAACAACAACAAATGACCTTTACAGCTGCTGGACAAAGCAATGCGGCTGAAATGGTGGTTCAACAAAACCAGCAACCATCACAAATGGATTTTGTGACACAACAACAACAACCACAGGTGACTCAACAGCAGCCATCACAAGCTCAAGTGGAATATTTAAGCCAACAAAGTGCACAGTTGGTGCAACAACAACCTCAAGGACAAATTGAATACGTCACTCAACAGCAACCCCAACAGGGGCAGTTGGAAGTTATAACCCAACCACAACAGCAACAACAAATTGAATATATGACACAGCAACAGCAACAACAACAACCCACAATTGAATATGTCCCCCAACCAACGCCTCCAATGCAAATGCAGCAAACCCAACCGGAGTTTATACCCCAACAACAGCAACAAACTCCTCCCATACAAACACAACAAACCCAACCCGAGTTTGTATCTCAACAGCAACAAACTCCACCCATACAAACACATCAAACCCAACCGGAGTTTGTGTCACAACATCAAACTCCCCCGATACAGGCACATCAAACCCAACCTGATTTTCTCCACCCACAACAACCACAAGCTATACAACAACAAAATCAAATTAACCGGGAATATGTTGCCCCGCAACAGCCACAGCAAACTCAAGTGGAATTTATTCCACAGGTTGAGTTTATAGCCCAACAAGCTCCAACATACAACAAGTTCAGGTTCAACAGCAACATCAACGCCGATTGAATATGTAGCTCAGCAGCAACAGCAGCCACAGCATACAACACCACCAGCTCAGACCCAACAAGTTGCACAGCCTGAGTTCGTTTCGAACCAACAGACAATACAACATGTTGGTCAAACTGAGTTCATTAGCAATCAAACTGTCTCGCAACAAAATCAAATGGTTAGCCAGCCACAACCGCAACAAAATACTTACATCGCTCAAACCCAACTTGAATTCATACCACAACAACAACAACAACAGCAGCAACAACAACAACAGCCCCAAATACAACATGATTTTGTTACTATCCAAACTCCACCGGCCCAGCAGACGCCACAGCAACAAATCCAGCCTGATTTTCAAACACCTAGCCAGCAGGCAAGCCAACTTGGTCAAGTGGAATATATGAGCCAACAAAGCCAGGTTCCACAGCAGCAACAGCAACAACAACAATCCCAAATGCCTCAAGTGGAGTATGTAAGCCAACAACAGCAACAACAACTCCCTCCACAAATGGAATATATAACGCAGCAAAGTCCAGCTCCGCAGCCACAGCAACAACAAACACCACAGGTTACCCAGCTGGAATATATAACCCAGCAAAGTCCTGCCCCTCAACAACAACAACCTGCTACCCAAATGGAATATATAAGCCAACAAAGTCCTGCAACACAGCAGCAATCACAACTTTCCCAACAGGTGGAATACATAACCCAGCAAACTCCGGCGTCACAGATCTCTCAAGTGGAATATGTTGGCCAGCAAACTCAAGCTTCACAGCAGCAACCACAACAACAGGTTCAACAAACATTGCCTACCCAAATCGATTTCAGTGGTCAACAGGCACTGCCAACAGCCCAGCAACAACAGCAATTGGAATATGTCCAACAAAATCAAACACAATCCATGCAAATGGGAGGTACACCTGCTCCGACCACCTCTGCAGGACAATTTATTATGAATGGCCAAACGCAATACATCCCATATGACTCACAGCAACAACAACAACAATCGCCAGCCCAACAACAGCAAATATTTCAACAACAAAATATTCAATCCTCTCAAAACCTCCCAGAGACCTCTGTTGTTGACTCTCCGGTGTCGGCTGGCCAGCCACCACAGACAACATTTACAGAGGCCATAAACAATGGAATGCCAGCCCTCAATGTAACCAACTCAACGGATTCCAAATTGAATGCAATTTCCAATGGTGTTTTGGAAAATCAAGAAACTCTTAACAACTCCACCACCACCGCGGGTCAGGTGACCAATAGCCAATACAATGAAGTTGCCACCCAAGCACTTCCACCCAACACCATTGCCCCCGAATCGTCGACAAACAGTTATCAAGAGAATGCCAACAATTCGGATTCCACATCCCGTAAGACCAGTACCGCTTCGGAATACACCACAATCACATCGGATTACTCACCGGAAAACACCATTACCCCTAATTCGGTGTTTCCACCACGCTCACAGTATGTCGATTTCCTGCAAAATGAATATCCCAATGTGAATATCATCAAGGACTCGTTGCAGGACATTAAAAAGGAGGATTTGGGCAATATCAGCAGTGATGAGTGTACCACAGAAAATTCCTCACCGCCCTATGATTTCAGAGGTTCCATACCGAACAATTCAAATACCCCGGAAAATAGTATGGCAGGGCGTAAAATTTCCCGGTTCTTTGTAAATCCGGTGGTCTTGCCGAACACCAATGCTGCAGAGGATAGTAATTCGTTGGGGGAGTCGAAGAGTACAACACAAATTGAACAGCAGCAGCACAGTGGTTCCAAGGCTGGTACAGGTTGCACAACGGCTTCTGTGCCTCTCTATGTCACTCCATCGGGAGAGGAGGCAAGTAATGCTGTCATGGCTGCCACCAATGGTAATACGAATCATTCGTTGGAACAATTGAAAATTGAGTTGGAAAATATAACCCATGCCCAGGCCTTTGCCTCGGCCATTGTGGCTTCAATCAACAATGAACATCAGCAGCAACAACAACCACCACAGCAGCAGCAATTGACACCACTGCTACAACAACAACAGCTACATGTGCAGGGAGATGATGATACGCCCACGGGCCCGCTCAGCTCCACACGTAGCTCTTCCACTTTCAATTCCAGGCGTACCTCTTTGGACAACAGTGGCTGCAATGACATGCAGAATACAATGCCCATATTACAGCAGCAACAACAACCATCTCAGCTCTTGCCCCAACAACAGCAACAACAATTTTCAGAATTCCCCTTGCAAACTGCCGGTGTTGAGCCCATTGTCAATATTTTCGAACACATGGAGCTGCATCAAAAACTCTCCAAACAAAATAGTTTGGAGACACCCCAACTACCACCCCTCTCCGGTGGCAGTGTTGACTCCACCATTACCACCAACACCAATACCCAACGGGTGTGTGGTCTAAGCCAAACTAGTATTGCAGATTTAGAGAAAAAATTGGCTGCCCTAAGGAATGTTGAGATGACCGATGAGGTCTTTCACGAACAGCAGAGAACTGAACAGGAGCTGAATGCCCGCAAGGTATCGCGTTTTTGTGTAAGCCGGGTACAAGAGCAGCAAGCTGCCGAACAGCAGCAATTACAACAACAACAACAGCTATTACAAGAACAACAGGATACCACACCCACACAGGAACAACCATTTGTGGTGCCGGTCACAGTGGCCATTCTAAGGCCCACAATTGATTTACAGGCCGCCAATAGTACAGCCAATAATAGCTATAATACACCCACGGAACTGTTATCGCCCTCATCGCTAAACTATCAGCCTTTGGGCTCGACAGTGGGAATACAAAAACCAGCCACGGCAGGGGCTGCCGCCGCTGTTGTTGTGCCTTCGCATGCCCCCACTGCGGCTCCAGTCTATAACATGGAACCGGCGGCCCAGTTGCAGCAACAACTGCAACAGCAGATACAACAACAAATACAACGATCCAATGCCATACAAGCTGATTTGCAGCTACAACAACAACAATTGCAACAACAACAACAGCAGCAGCAGCAACAATTGTTCAATCAAACAATGGCCAATGTTGTCAGTCAACAAACGACGGCGGCAGGTCAAACAAATCAACAGTCCCAACAACAGCAGCAGCAATCCCAACTCCAACAACAGCCGCAGCAGCAACAACAACAACAACAACAGTTAGCCCCAACCACACAAATACCTTTGCCATTTGTTACACCCATTCAGCAACAACCAACAGCTCTTCATCCCTATCCCTATATACCACAAGATCTGGTCGAATCGGCCGGGCGCCTAGCCCTAGCCCAGGAAGAACCCATGTCACTGGCCGCCACTCATCCCAATCTCTTGCCCACGGTTATACAATCGGATATCAAACACAACCTCGATTCACTGGTCAGTCAATTGTGCAGCACCCGTTTGGGAGCGACACAACATCAACGCCTACTCTTGCTACGTCAACGGCAACTTATCGAAGAGGATGAACTGCGTCTGAAACACTATGTGGAATATGAAAAATTTCAAAAGGCCATGCGTCAGACGCCCTCCATCGATATGGTGCACACTCAACAGCCCATGCTCTATATACAGCCAACGACCATAAATCAGCAAGGTTATATAAATCTAACCAGTGGTTTCATGCCTTCCCCATTTGGACCAGGTGCGGGCGGCATCGGCGGTTCGGGCGGACATGGATATCCGCATCATTTTCAGCAACAACATTCAATGTTTAATACCAATGTTCAGACGACAGCTGCAATGTCGGGTTATGCCGTAATGTTAAATCCACAATTGGCCATGCAACAGCAGCAGCAACAACAACAGCAGCAGCAGCAGCAACCACAAAGCTTGCCCTCACAATATACCATTGTAACAAATATGGCTGCTGCGGGGGTGCAACAGCAGCAGCCGCAACTAGCCCTGCAACATCAGCCCCAGCCACAAATGGGTAAACAGCAGCAGCAACAAACCACACTTGGCCCAGCCGCTGGCGTCCAATCCCAATTTCCCCAATCTCTGGCATTTGGACAAGACTAGGAACGGCTTAAACAAGATGTTAATGTGGATGTATGTGGCTTACCATTCTTTTGCTGGAAAGGCAATTGGAATCGAAATCAAATGTAAATCTCTTTGAAGAAATCACCCACGTGGAATGAAAGCAGATGAGACATTGCTTAAGTCCCTGATAAAATCAGATACCCATGGCGATAACAGAAAAAAAAACTGAATGAATATGAAACGTTTAAAACATCCCATTAACCTCTTGTTTTGTTGGATTTGAATACCCAAAGAAATTACACACACCTACAAACTTACATACATATATATGTAGTATAAATCGTATTTGAACGTAAATCCCTTAAACTTCCACACGAACTACCTGCGATCACATAGAAAAAAGGTAATCTATATTCAAATATAATACGATTCTCATTTCAAAAAAAAAAAAAAAAAACGTCATAAACATTATAGGATAGCAAAATCACCATTATCGTTTCAGGCTTAGATGAAAGCGGGGAGATATTGACTGAAAATAAGGTTGAAATGTTGTTGAAATGGAAATATTTTCCAGGCAAGAATTTTTCAGCAATTTTTTTCGTGGAGAGTGAGATAAGCAGATAGAAGTTGATTTTTCAAAACCAGAGCACAGATTTGCTCGTTTTTGCTTGGGAGTGAAACTTGCTCGTGAACGGGAGTGCTTGAAGAGTACGAGTTTCATAAAAAGTTTATACATAGATACACAACAACGTTATAATAAAAATTAAAAGAGTGCTCGGCAAGAGTAGAATCTGCTCAAATTTTGAAAGAATTTCGCTCCCACTCAAAAACGAGGAAATATGCTCACTCATATTCGAGCATTGAAAAATGGAGTTTGCTCAATTTTTTTCTCTCTTTGAACAAATTCTAGCGAGTTTTTCGGCGTCTGGTTTAAATGATATATACCCTCTATAGCCATTAGGCTGAGGGTAAAAATACATAATAATTTATGTCAAACCATTATTGCAGTGTACTCTTCCTTCTTTTGGTTTTAACAAAAGTATAAGAGCAAGAGCGTCTAAAAAAGATTATATCATAAGAATATATACGATTGGGTACGACATTGACGAAATCTATATGCGTCCTAGTTCAAAGGTGAGCTGAGCCTATAAGTCAAACAAATTCTAAAATTACTGAGAATTTCGAAAAATTTCGTATAAGACTCACGAGCTTTACCCGCATAAAATGCCAAAAATTTCGAAATTATTTTGGATTTTCCCAGAAATTTTACAATTACCGAAAAATTACACTTTGCAACACAAAACATAATTTCGGGGAAAATCCAGCAGATTATGAAAGTAGAGCTAACAAAAGAAGACACGTGTTGGATGTTTTGAAAGTTTACATCGAAATGTAACCCAAATTGAGGAGACAATTTTCCCCCTTTTCAACTCTTTTGGACATTTTCGGGTTAAGATTCCCCGGAATTCGTACATTTTAGGTATATACTGTCTTCGGCAATATTGCAAATAAAAATACGACAAAGATTTCGACAGAAAAAGTCAAACCCTAAAGGAGTTAATAAAGGGATCTTTTGCGTTCTTTTTTTTAAATACCTTTTAAAACCTTCTTTTAAATGTCAAAATATTCTTCCAAATCATTTGTATAAAAAAACAACTATAGGTCCTGGAAGACGTCAAGAGTCTAAATCTTATCATCAGGAATTCATATATAGGGTGAGATAAAAACTGCAACAAAGTCAAACGCCATAATTTTCACATTTTTTTGAAATTTTATTGAAAAAAGCAAAAAATGTCGGAAATAGCATCAAGATTTAGAATAAGTTTAGATTTGTCACCTTTGGCACGAATTATGGCCTTCATACGGCCAATGGAACCGTCACACGCTGACCGAATGTTGCTCTGCGGTATTTTGGCTCATTCCCGGCGAAGCGCTTGCTTGATGTTATCGAAACTTTCGTATTTTTTAGTGCCAACCTTGCTTTCCAAAATACTCCAGACACAATAGTCCAACAGATTGGTATCCGGAGATTTTGGTGGCCATTGTGCGCTGGAAATGAGGTGAGGAACCTCATTTTGTAACCATTCGATAATATTCGGCCTTTATTCTGATGCCACGGTCGATTAATACGAGCGGAGAGTGACCATCGGCTGTTATGGCGGCCCACTCTATCACCATGGTTGGCGCTTAAGTTCTCGTGGCCAACCGAAGGTGCACATTTTCAGCTGACCTCTTTGGCAAGTAAACGCGATCAATTTGTCTGTTTACAAACTGCTGGACAACGAATGTTTTCTCATCGGAGAAAACCAAATTCGGCAGTTCACCACTTTCGGCCAAGCGAAGAAGCTCTTTTGAGTCTATTTTCTTTCTGTTGCGGTGTAAGTTCTTGCACTTTTTGGAATTTCAATGGCTCCACCCCGAGCTCATTTTTCAATATTTGCCGAATAGAATATTGCGTTCAGCTCCTGAGCCATTTTTTGGCCACTGCGACGCGGGTTTCGATCAAGTCGCTTCTTTACTTTTCGAACTATTTCTGCTGATGTTGCTGTTTTCTTTAGTCCGCTTTCTTGACGTTGGCTACACTACCAAGCTACTAGTATCACCGTAACGAGCGATGGTACGAGACTCAAAAGATTTATTCACATTTAAATGCTGGAGTGCTCAAATGATAGCCACTTGCGGTTTTCAGCTCTATTTGTTTACATTTTGATGTCAATTTTAAAACGCCTAAACACGTGTCTTATTTTGTAGCTCAAAAAATAAAAGCCATGCAAACAATTTTTTTCAAAATTATTCGTTCGACAACATCTCATTGTCAAAATAAATACACATTTTGACAATGAAATGTTGTCAATCCATTTGTAAATACACAAATCTGAGAAACAGAAAATACAGAGACAGGTATGCTTGTTTGAAATGACTTTAACTTCTTAATTTTAGAGTTTTTCATAAAACTTCATAGGTTTTCTCCGAGTTTTGACCGATATTCGTATAAAATTCCAGTGTTGTTTTTTGGAATTTCCTTTGACATTACTTTCCGATATTAGAGGAGACTGCCATACAGCATTTGTATCTGTTTTGTATCCAAATCCGATATCTTTGGGAAGATTGTGTAGAGATTATGACTGAATTCGGAAAGATCTGGAAAATGACAGGTTGGCCAAATTGGAAAATCACAACTCAGAAGATATTCAAAATTGCAAATTCCACAAATGTTTATTTGATACCTTTTCGTAATTTTTCGTAATTTAATAGGAAATCCTGAAAAATGAATTGAGGTTCCGGATTTTTCCATGTTATCATGTTTCTAATATCATAAGCATTTAGTTTCATCCGAAAATCCAAAAATTCATTCACCTCCAAGGTTCTAAATGTGAATTTAAATTATAACATAATTGGAAATTATTGGAAATAATTAAATAAATTATTAATAACTATGGTATGATTTATTTTTTGCTTTAATTATTGAGTTTTCTCAGCGCCACAACCTTGCCCAAAAATACGTACAAAGTATTTGTAAATTACAAACTGTTCAGAAATTTTGATATTAGGTGTGTCTGGTTACTTTTCCAGCAGGAATTGTCCAGCAACTTCTTTCTGAGAGAGTAAGGTAGTTTTATTCTCTTTTGCAAGGAAAATGCGAAAAGTAAACAGACGCTATTCCAGCAGAAGCTTGCAACTAATCAGCTGATTTGTCAAAACAAACAAATTTGTCCCCCATAAGGAGAATTAAAACAAAGGAACCAATACTAATTTTACAAGTTTTTTAAATAAAAATGATGTAAATAGTCTTTTATTTTCTTATTACATATTAACATTTCCAAAAACAATTAGTCTTGCTAATTCCAAAACAATATTTTCAAATTAAAATCACAAAAAGAAATAAATAAACAATAGAAAACATCTGATTGAATGTCGATGAATGAGAAGAAGAAGAGTTGCAAGAGATTGCAAGAAGAAATTCGTCCAGCAAGAATTTGCAAACTCTCACTGAAAGAACTGTCAAAATTTCTCTCTCCAACCGCTCTCTTTCGGGTTAACAGACGACTTCCAGTAAGAATTTGTAACAATTGTTACAAATTTTAGGGTAACCAGACACACCTATTCTTAAAAGTGGTAATCCAGTTCTGGCAGACTCGAGTCCCTCATGAATTAAGGTGTAAGTACATAACAAGCTTGAAGTCATGGCTAGGAATATTTGGTGATATTTCATAAAGGGATTACAGAGCCGCACTAAAATCCTCCCGTCGTTTTCCATAATAATTTGACCTAGCCTAGTCATGACTTCAAGCTTTTTTCGTACTTGCACCTTTAGACTTTCAATACCTCGAATTAGAAAAATCGCAATACCTTTAAGAAACTGTGTGGAAACGTATGATTGGTGATAGAAGTATAACTCATTACATTAATTTATTTTTCAAATTATATGAATTATATTTATAGTCTGAGAGATAAATGTATGGCAACAAATATGTTTAAATATACACACATATATATCATAGATCTCATAGTTTTTTTTTTTTTTAATTTAATAATTATTTAATAATGTTAAGACAGAGATAAAGATAATGTTACAGTTGAACATGGGATTTCCCAATGTTAAGTATGTATGGACTTGAAGTAGAGAAACCAAAATACCTAATTGTAATTCCACTTTAGCATTTATTCATTACACTCCAAGATTGTTTAGATAACTCCTTTCCTATCCCTTCAAACAACCCATGTTGAACTGTAGAATGTAAATTATGGATCCTTTGTGAGCTTTTAGAAAACATGAAATATTTATAGACTTCTATTTATTGTTATTTGTTATAATTATGCTTAAGAGATGATGTTTGCTATTACAAAACTCCATTAATCCAATTTAATGTCTTTTAAGAAAATGAGATGAATACAAACGAATTCATTGATTTTGCAAAGCAGGAGGAGTTATGCATTAAATTAACCGGATACAAAGTGTCAACGTCCGTATTGTATTAATTTATTTATTATTCATTATTTATGTAAAACATACATACTTTTAAACATTTATGCATAATGCCTTCAGAGAATACTTAAAACTTAAATCGTATTTAATGGTAATAAATGTATTCGCTACAAGTAACAATGTGTTTTAATGATGGCAATTTAAGGTAGGTAATATTCTTGGCTAATGTAAAACTTTATCTCAAACAAAAGGAGGAACGAGTAAAACAGCAGCTAAGTTCAGCTGGGCCGATCTTTTAATACCCTCCACCATTTGGAAGGAACTTGAGAATTTTCAAAAAAAAAAAAAAAACATTAAAGAAAGTCTTAAAGTCGGGCGGGGCCGTCTTTATGATACCCTACACCACTTTGCTAATTAGTAGAGCTGCGCATAACAATTAACAGTTTTTATGGGAGAATTCAATCATACACGCTATGATTATAATTATAATTTAAAGTGCAAAGGACTAAATATGCCGAAGCATTTGTATCTTTTAAATTCGGACTTGTATTGCCCATTTGGTGCACAATTAACTTGAAATCGGATAAAAATATATATGGGAGCTATATCCAAATCGGAACCGATCTCGATAAAATTTGGCAAAGATATTTCTGAGCTGTATTTGATATATTTCCTGAATATCGTTTTACGGAGTGCATATTACGGCTGTGGGTAACAAATATGACAAATCGGATGAACAGTATATATGGGAGCTATAGCTATATCTGAACTGATCTTCACCAAATTTGTCATACTAGCTTCTAGACTCAATTCGGTCGCATATGCCAAATTCCATCCTATTTGGGCAAATATTAGACGTTTGGTGTACAGTAAAAGGTAAATCGGACGAAGTTATATATGGGAGCTATATCCAAATCTGAACCGATCTCGATAAAATTTTGCAAATGTATTTCTAAGCTGTATTTGATATATTTCCCCAAATATTGTAGTTACAGAGTGCATATTACGTCTGCGGAGGACAAAAATTACAAATCGGATGAATAATATATATGGGAGCTATAGCTATATCTGAACCGATCTTCACCAAATTTGGCATACTAACTTCTAGACTCAATTCGGTCGTAAGTGGCAAATTTCATCCAATTTGGGCAAATATTAGACGTTTGGTGCACAATCCAAATTAAATCGGACGAAGTTATATATGGGAGCTATATCCAAATCTGAACCGATCTCGATAAAATTTAGCAAATGTATTTCTGAGCTGTATTTGATAAATTTCCCCAAATATTGTTGTTACAGAGTGCATATTACGGCTGCGGAGGACAAAAATAACAAATCGGATGAACAATATATATGGAAGCCATAGCTATATCTGAACCGATTTCGATCAAATTTGGCATACTTATTTTGAGGTCCAATCTGATCGTACGTGCAAAATTCCATACTATTCGGACTGATATTACACGTTTGGTACTCAATAAAAAGGAAATCGGACGAAGATATATATGGGAGCTATATCTAAATTTTGACCGATTATCTCCAATTTCAATAGGGTTCGTCCTTGGACCAAACAAATGATTTGTGCAAAATTTCATCTGGATAGGGCAATAAATGCGAACTGCACTTTGTTTACAAAAATACATGGACAGACGGACGGACGGACATGCATAAATCGACTCAGAATGTGATTCTATGCAGATCATCAAAAGGATCTATGGGTCTATCTCGTTTCCTTCTGCCTGTTACAAACAAATGCACAAAGACATAATACCCTGACCACCTTGTGGTGTAGGGTATAAAAAAGAGAAACGAAAACTACCACTCAAATGAGAACCGTTATATGGGGAATGTACGAAGTTGTTGTAGGCTGTAGTACCCATTAAGATCTTCCAATACGAAATTTGAAACGATTCCGATGAATTGAATATTGCTCAAATCTTAAAAATACCGTCTATCGGGAGATACCGTTATATGGGGGATATACGAAAACGTAAACCTGCATACGATTTTTATACCCTACAACACTATATGTTGAGGTTATTATAAGTGTGATTGGGTCAAAAATTATGTAACACTTCGAAATATTGTTTTCCCACATAGGAAAGTATCTTCCTATCTCGCCGAGCTAAGTCGATCTAGCTATGTATGTCCGTCTGTCCATGTTAATATGTAATCACTCTACAGGTCGCAATTATGGCCCCATCTTCACAAAATTTAGAATGGAGGTGAGGCTAGAACCAAAATAGAACACTATTGATTCCTGATCACACAATTGAAGCCAAGAAGAGAGTTAAGGAGAGGGAAGAATTGTAGCAATTTGGATGACCACTGGATTCTATTTAGCTACAACTAACAGCATGACGAAGTGTGTAAATATTGGGCAAATGCCCATGTTCAAAATGCAAAGGTTAATATCTGGTCAGTGCTCCGTGACATAAATTCAAAAACGAAATCTTCCAAAATGGATTTGGACATAAATGGACTTCTAACATATTGTAGTGTTGTAGGATATCACATGGTCGGCCCCGCACGCCAATAGCCTTTGCATACTTGTTTTGTAATAGGCTGTGGTACCCATTACGAAGTTTAAATACGAAATTTGAAATAATTCCGGTAAATAATGTCACTAAAATCTTGAAAAGACCGAATATCAGGAGGAACCGTTATATGGGAGCTATAGGAAGACGTGACCTGCTTACGAAATTTTTTGTCATAGGCTGTAATACCCATTAAGATCTTCCAATATGAAATTTGAAACGATTCCGGTGAATAATATTGCTGAAATCATCAAAATACCGAATATCGGGGTGTACCTTTATGTGGGGGCTATACGATATCGTGGACCTATATAGACAATTCTCTTCTAGGGGATAAAATACATACAAGGAACTTCTTGTGTGAATTTTCAGATAATTCCACTAAAAAAATTGTCTGAAATCATCAAAATACCGAATATCAGGGGGTGACGTTGTATGGGGAATATTCTATATCGTGGACCTATATAGACAATTATCTTTCAGGAGGTAAAGTAGTCATAAAGAACTCCTTGTGTAGAATTTCAGACAATTCCATTGAAAATGTGGCTAAAATCATCAAAATATCGAATATCGGGGGGTACCGTTATATATCGTGGACCTATATAGACAATTCTCTTTCAGGGGGTAAGGTACTCATAAATAACTCCTTGTGTAGAATTTCAGACAATTCCATTGAAAAATGTGGCTAAAAACATCAAAATACCAAATATCGGGAGGTACCGTTATAAGGGGGCTATACGATATCGTGGACCGATATAGCCCATCTTCGAACTTGACCTACCTGCAAACAAAAGACAGATCTTATCTTAATTCGTTTTGATTGTAGCGGTTGTAGGGTTGGTATACCCTACCTGCCTGACACATTAATGTAGGACACACGATATAACTAAGAAAACCCCAGTATGTAACGAAAATATACCCAAAAATCGAAGGCACGTTTATCGGCTCTTCCAAATTTTACATTACAAGGTAACCTAAATAGAGCGAGACACTTTCCCCCTTTTCTACATTGTTTAGATTTGTTATACCCTGCACAAAATAGTGGTAAAGGTATTATTATGTCTTTGTGAATTTGTTTGTAACATGGAGAAGGAAGCGAGATAGACCCACAGCTACTTTTGAGGATCTTCATAGAATCACTTTCTAAGTCGATTTATGCATGTCAGCCCCTCTGTTCATGTATTCTTGTGAACAAAATACAGTTCGCACTTATTTTTTAGATGAGTTTTCCAAACAATATTAGTTTGGCCCAAGGACGAACTCTATTGAAATTGGAGAGAATCGGTTCAAAATTTAAATATAGCTCCCATATATATCTTCAACCGATTTCACCTTAATTATGCACTAAATGACCAATATCAGTCCAAATAAACTGGATTTTAGAACATTCGATGAAATCCTGTCTAGAAGCAAGTATATCAAATTTGATGAAATCGGTTCAGATATAGCTTTAGCTCCCATATATATGTTTTTTTTTTCGATTTTGTGCTTAAGTTTCTCTCATTCGTAATATGCACTCCACAAGAATGATATTTGGTACCAGATATTAGACACAGCTCGGATATACATTAGCCAATTTCTGTCGAGATGGGCTAAGATTTGGATATCCGATTTCAGGTTAATTGCGTAAATAATGGCTAATATCAACCCGAATGGAGTGACACACGACTATAGAATTTGCTTTACTTCTCGATGCGATATCATGCACTCTATAGTAATGTTAATTGGTATTAAAGATTAAAATGTCTCCGTCTAATTTAGTGAAAATCGATTCAGAATTGGATATGCCTCCCATACATTCGTTTACCAAATAGTGACTGCTCTAAAGCGAACTATGCATATAGTCCGACTTTTGACTTTTCCTTACTAGTGTCTTCGTATATAATGATATTCGAAAAATTTTCATTGATCATTGTAATCAAGATTATTGTATTTTTTGTCATACTTCAAAAATTATGATTGGTAGAAGAATTTGGCAAAAATTCACATGAAGTACGTCTTTGACCCTAAAACGTTACTAAACGTTACTAACTAGTAACTAAACGTTACTAAAGAAAAACATCATTCCCATTAAGTTATTCATATTTTTATAACCTCCACAATTCTTTGTCATTCCGTTTATAACTCCTAGAAATATTTATAATAGACCCTTAAAAGTATATATATTCTGGATCAGCGTAAAGTTCTAAGACGATCCAGTGATGTCAGTCTGTCTGTTTTAATTATGAACTTTCGAACAACTTGAGATAGAAGGCTAAAATTTTGCATACATGCATAGTTTATCAGTAGGCAGATTAAGTTTGTAAACGGTGGACCATGTCGGTCCACGTTTTCGTATAGCCCTCATATAACGTTACCTGCCAATAGTCGGTATTTCGATGATTTCAGCAACATTATTCACCGAAATCGTTTCAAATGCCGTATTGGAAGATCTTAAGGGATCTTAATCATTATTTACCGGAATTATTTCAAATTTTGTTCAAAAGTTACCTTTCGATATTCGGTGTTTTGTTCACAGATTTGTATAAAAATTGGTATTTGTAGGCCATAATAGGTTCTTGCTCATGTGGCGAAATATTGTATGTATAGGTCCACGTTTTGGCATAGCCGCCATATAACGGTACCTTCCGATATTCGGTATTTTGATAATCTTTGCCACATTTTTCACGGATTTGTCTAAAATCGGTAATTGTAGGTTATAATAGCATTGTATGTATAGGTCCACGTTTTGGTGTAGCTCCCATATAACGGAACCTCCCGATATTCGGTATTTTGATGATTTTTGCCACATTTTTTCACGGATTCGTCTAAAAATTAGAATTTTTTGGCCATGATGTGTTCTAGCTCCGGTGGCGAAACATTGTATGTATAGGCCCACGTTTTGGTATATAACTGTACCTCCCAATATTTGGTATTTTGATGACTTTTGCCGCATTTTTTATCACGGATTTGAGGTTTTATTTGAGAGGTAATTTTCTACGGATTTTTTTTATTTTTTTGATTTTTTTCAAATTCCGAACTTAGCTGTTTTTGCTTGTGTCTCTTTGAAATTGTAGATCGAAAAGTAACCAAAATAGAGGGGAAAAGGTCCCTGCTCTTCAACACTTTCAAAAGTTTGGGATTAAGATTCGGCGAAATCCGTGTATTTTAGATATATACAGGGATGCCCATATTCGACGGGCCCATGTTTTTTTGGGCCCATTTTGTACGGGAACAAATGCAAATCAATGCGAATAATCCGTTGTAAAGTGGACCGAGCCATGCCCAACTGCTGAGAACGGTGTTTTTGGGATGTTCTTGGGGACATCTCAGCACTGGCTCGTACGGCAGTGATATTCTCGGCCGATCGCCTTGGTCGACTTTTTTATGGCCTCTTCGGATTAGAAAGAGCCTTACCAGTCGAAAATTTTTCGTATAAACGCTTAATGGTGTTCTTAGAAGGCGCACATCTCACATTTTTTAATGTTTTAAAAGCACGTTGAGTTTTCACAATTGACTTCTTCTGTTGAATGTAAATTTCAACTATTTCAGAGCGGGTGTATTGGTTCATGGTAAAAATCTGCTTGGACTGACGCTTTAAACGCGGTATGTCATTAAGCGATGTGACATCTCTGTCAAAAGTTATGGCGTTGCCAGTTGCCATGGGCAACCCTGTAGTGTCTTAGGCAATATTACAGATTTTAATCCTCGAACAAGTCAACAAGCGGTCTATTTGGTTCGTTTATTTAAATTATGGTTCAAAACATCCTTTAAATGGGATCGTAACCAGTAAATATATTCTACAAAATTATTTGTCTTAAAATTTTACTATAGGTCCTAGAAGACGTCAAGAGTCTAAATCTTACCTAAACGCCAGGAATGTATATGCATATATTAAAAACATATTTGAGTGAGGTTTTTTTTTTTTGCCAAAAATCTCCATCAGAGACGAAATGATTCCCCATCAAATTTTACCATAAGCCACTAAAGAAAATAAATCTCTATTTCCACTGGATATCAAAAAACTTTTAACATCAACGTTCCCAAAAAACATTTTCTACTTCTTTATCAATTCGGGCATTTTTCGAGTCGACGTCTGAAAGTAACATTAAGTTTCGTTTTAGACGCAAGCTATCAAATGAAGAAATATTCTACACAAACTTCCACTATAAATCTCAGAATAAATCATATATCTAATTACAATAGTTTTTATGAGAATTACATTCAAAATATTTTTATTAAAAGTAGCAAATAAGGTCATTGCTTCTTTACTGTTAATTTTACGCGTATCCCATTCGATTCCCCTCCCTTTATACTTCATTTTTTCGAGGAAAGTGTCAATGTAAGAATTATTCTAAATCAATTTTCATTGTGAGTCTCTGAAGAAAAGACATTTACGTACTTAATAGGGTAAGTGTGCCTAAGTTCGGCATGTCCCATTAGTCGGCCCATTTTTAATTTTTAAGCCCAAATAAATGAAACTTTTATAACTAAATGTATTTTGTTTACTTCAAATATATTTTCAGCTATCTTTGTGTACAATTTCGCTAAGAAAAGAAGATTTATTCTAATAAAAATTAAATTTTTGTCTGTGAAGGTCCTCAACAATCCATATTCTTAAGAAGAAAAGTACAACAAAGACGTCGAATCAGTTTAACTAAACAAAAATATTATATTTTAATGAATTAATTTATTTTTATTACTATTATTACAAAAAAATTGGTATGCCGACTGTTGGAACATGCCATACCTACAATTAGCAAGTGGTGCAGACTACTGGCAAAAAAGCATTGTTTTACAAAAACTACAAATTTATGAAATTTAATAAAAATTTATTAAAACTTTATTTATTATTGCAAAAACTATACAAAATTTCGAATCTGAATAAATTAACTTTGTAATAATTGAAAAGTTCCACTCAGAATGGTGAGCGATTAAAAACGCGAAAATCCTAAAAGTGCCGACTACTGGTACACTTACCCCATTTACCATTAAAAATACCTTTAACTTGGATTCTTGGGAGTAGAACACTTTTTCGCAATAAATTTCAGTGCACTATTATTTATATTAAACATCTTTTGTCGGAAAGTTTTCATTCACAAACAAACCAAAGTACGATTTGTTAGTCAAATCGATTGAAAATATGGCCAAAACCCTTGCACAGTGCATCTGTCCCAAAAATATTAGCGGCAAAAAACCTCAACTTTGACTTCATCAAAATTACTTGACTCCAATACCGCAATCCTAATGCATATAAATAAATTAGGACGAGATCCATTGTTGGTACCTTTTCAGTTGATATAGCAGTTGCTTATGCGCAGCCTCTTACCTTTTTTGTTCCTCCTGAGTTGGAAAAAAAAAAAAACACCAACAACAACAATATTAAATATTTGCATAAATATACATACATACATGTTGAATTTATTTTATTTATAGAATTAACGTGTTTTAGGTTTTTCCTGCGTTTTTTGTTTGCTTTTTACATAGATTTTTTTACATTACATAAATATTGTTTCTTAATTTTAATGCGTTTAGAACTGGATATATCCCATCGTATACCGATAGAAGAAGAAGAAGACTGCTATCGTTTATTGGCTGTTGGACATTATTGTAATCGGTGTGCTGTTGTTATTGGACTTGTTGTGCGCTGTCGGGATTGGCATTGTCGCCCTTTTGAAGTGCGACAATATCGGTTGGCATCATTTCAGTCTGTTTGAGAGGTATAGCTGCTGCTATGGCTGCCGTAGGAAGTTGAACCAGAGCAGCTGCAGGTGGGGCAACATTGGGTTGTATCGCCTGCATGGCTTGAAGATGATTGAGCTGTTGCTGTTGTTGCAGCAGCAATTGTTGTTGTTGGTGCAGTTGTTGTTGCTGATGTTGATGCTGCTGCTGTTGCAATTGTTGTTGGTGATGTAACTGTTGCTGTTGTTGTTGATGTATGTGTTGCTGTTGTTGCTGATGTTGTTGCAAATGTTGATGGAATTGTTGCTGCTGTTGAATTGGTTGGTGTTGGGGTTGTGGCTGCAACTGCGTCAATTGTTGCATAGGTTGATTGATTAGCGTTAAATCGGTGTTGGTGGTGGTCTGTTGTGGCACAAATTGTTGTTGGTGGTGTATTTGTTGCATTTTTGTTGTTTGCATTTGAATAGCAGTTGCTGTCGCCTGCTGCTGCTGTTGTTGTTGTTGTTGTTGTGATGGTTGCATATTTATTTGTGGATTCAACATTACAGCATATCCCTGCACAGAAGCCGAAACGGCCGTGGTCTGGGTATTGGCACTTATGATTTGTTGTTGCTGGGGTACCGCTTGTACCCCAGGAGCAGCATTGGGAGTATGATTTAAAGATGGAACGAGACCATTACCAAAATTTAAATAACCCTGCTGGTTAATTGCGGTGGGTTGTATGTAAAGATACTGTTGTTGAGCTGTATGTACATCATTGGCCTGCCTTAAAGCCTTTTGGAACTTTTCATACTCCACATAGTGTTTCAAGCGCAGCTCATCTTCTTCGATGAGTTGACGTTGGCGCAGCAACAGCAAACGTTGATGTTGATTCGTTCCCAAACGTAAGTTGCACAATTGACTTACCAGGGAGTCGAGGTTATGTTTTATATCCGATTGGATAACGGTTGGCAATAGATTGGGATGTGTGGCGGCCAGAGACATTGGTTCTTCTTGTTGGGGTATTGCCGGCAAACGAGCTGCTTGATTGGCCTCCACTAATTCATTGCCCATATGGGGTACAACCGCAGTGGAGGCCATTGGACCATTCGTGTATTGATACGAATGCAAAACATTGTTTTGTGTTTGCTGTGGGGGAAGAGGTGCTGTTAAAAAGGGCATGGCCAGTTGTTGTTGCTGAACGGGTTGATGTTGTTGGGCCTGTATAGCTTGATTATTAAGGAATTGTTGCTGCTGATGTTGTTGGATTTGCTGTTGTTGTTGCTGCTGCTGTTGCAGTTGTTTATCGACTTGCATATTTGTACCATCAGCTGCTGTAAAGCAACCTGCTGTTGTTGTTGTGGCGGCTGCTGCTGTGGCTGTTGTTGTGGAACAGTTTGCAAAATTGCTGGTTTTGCTGCTGCAGCCAACATAGGCTGCTGAATTGTGGCCAATGGCAAATTTGTTGGCATCAACATTTGTCCCGTGGCGGCAGCAGCCACGGCTGCCGCATTTTGTATCTGTTGTATGGCTGCGTTCCTTTGGATTTGTTGTTGTATGTGTTGCTGCAATTGTACAGTAACATGGTTGGGTGGTTGGTTGTAGACCACTTGTGCTGGTGCCGGCACCGTCGCCTCTTGCAATGGTAAAACGACCGCTGCCGCAGTTGGTGGTTTTGCCGCAGCAGCCAAAGCCATTTGATGTTGGTAATTCATGGCGGGCAATAAATGTTCAATGGACGCATCATTGGATTTTCGTTTTGGTTTAGGATTTTCAGGGGGCTTTGTTTGTGGTGGTTGTTGTTGTTGTAAAACTGGAGGTGCATCCTGTCGAGGGTGGGTAACTTCTGTTGCTGGGGCGTTTGCTACCTTATTGATGTCTTTATTTTGTTGCTGTTCAATGGATTTCTGTTCCTGGACACGACTAACACAGAACCGTGATACCTTCCGTGAGCCGGGGTCTTTTTCCATGGCCTTTTGAGCAACTGTTGTTACAGGTTCCGTTACGGCTGCCGTGGTAGTTGACGCTGTCGAGGATTGTGTTTGCTGCTGGGCTTCCTCACCAGTTTCAGTATTTCTCAAAGCCGCCAATTTCTTTTCCAAATCGGCAATTGAATTTGGTGTAAGGCCACCAGTTTTTGCTTGCGTTGTACTTGAGGTAATAGTTGAATCAACACTACCACAAGCTGGCAATTGTTGCAAAACATTTATTACACCATTGATATTTGAATTCTTCTGGACAGATGGCTCAGCTGTATTCGGTATTTGTTGAGTCTGTTGGCTTTCCTGTTGTGGCGTTCCATTATCGCTATCAGCTTCTATGATATTTGTCAAAGCATTCTGCAATTCATTACAGCCACTATTGTCCAGAGATGTACGTCTTGAATTGTAGGTGGAAGAGGTACGTGTTGAGCTTAGCGGAGCCGTTGAGCTATCCTCCTCAGTTTGACTCAGACAAGAGTTTGACTGTTGCTGTTGTTGTATATTCTCATTATTAATGGACGCCACAATGGCCGAGGCAAAAGCTTGGGCATGGGTAATATTTTCCAGTTCAATTTTTAATTGTTCCAACGAGTTGTTGGTATTACCATTTGTTGTTGTCGATGATGTCGTGTTGTTGTTAGACGTTTCTGGGCCATTTTCAGCACCTGCTGTCGTCGTAGCCTGATTATTTGAATTTTCATTATCATTTTGTTCTGGTATTGGTTCTATGTTGTTGGCTGTTGTTGTGCCAGCAGCCACTGTCGGCGGCGGTGTAGCCACCACAGCCACGCTATTATTTGGTAATATCACAGGATTTACATAAAATCTTGATATTTTTCTTACCATTGGTGCGGGATTATTCGAATTTGCGTTGTTGTTGCTGTTATTATTAACACTGTTATTGTTGTTGTTTTCATTTTGGTTACCACCATTATTCGGCTGTTCTCGTGGCGGTGATACCTTTTCCGTAATAATACCATTTTTTATACTTCCTATGCCACTATCATCCTTTCTTCTTTCATGTATATTTTCCACAGTCGTTGTTGGACCATTCTCATTCATATCAAAATATTGACTTGAATTCCTACCCGAGGGATATCCAGCGGAATTCATGGTTATTGTACTATCGGGTGAATAATCCGAAAGTGATGTATATTCTGAGGCTGTACTTGTCTTGCGCGATGAATCCGGGTGATTGTGTTGTGATCGTTTGTGATCATCACACGAGGAGCTTGTTGTGGGTGTCGATGATGTTACTGGTGTAGACGATACATTACTGTGGCCGCTGGTATCGTGACCCTGTTGCATATAGCCGGCATCCATCAAACCATCATCGGATGGAGCTGTGGGATTTGTCATGAGATAATCATGGGAATTGGATTCCATATGATTTGTGATGTATTGTTGTTCCATTTGACCACCGTTGTTGTTGTTGTTGTTACTGTTATTGTTGTTCTCCACACCTGTTATATTTACTTGGGGTATTTGCTGCTGCTGCTGTTGTTGTTGAACATCATTGTTAAGGGAATGACCATTTAAAAGGAATTGATGTTGCTGGTGTTCGCCATGCATCTGCTGTTGGTGTTGTTGTTGCTGCTGTGGTTGTTGGCAAGAATTGGTACCATTTTCATATATGGTTTGGGTAGCATTCATATTGTGTTGTTGCTGCTGTTGGTTGACGTCGTATGCGTTTTGAATCTGTTGTTGCTGTTGTTGAACATAGTCTTGTATTTGTGTTGGCTGCGGCTGTTGTTCATAAATGATATTTGTTGAGGAACTTTGACCTGGAATCTGTTGCGTTGTTTGCTCCTGCTGAGGCATGTTGTGTTGGTACTCTTGCATATGCATGGACTGCTGTTGTTGTTGTTGGTCATATGTGGCCATATTTGTTGTAGAATTTGCCGTAGGTGCTGCTTGACAATTGAGGTCCTGGTGTGAATAGGTTTGTTGTTGCTGTGGTTGCATTATTTGTTGGTTTTGCATTGTGTACTGCTGTTGTTGTGTTGGCATAGTATATTGCACAGGATATTGTTGTTGCTGCTGCTGCTGTTGCATTTGGGCATTTTGAGGCTGCACTTGCATCTGATGCTGTTGTTGCTGCTGTTGTACTAAATAATCCTGTTGCGTCGCCTGCTGTTGATTTGATGTCTGACTGTAATGCTGATTGGATGGCTGCTGCAATATGGCATTTAGCGATGAGGCCAATGACATTTGGGCTGGATTTTGTGGCGTATAAAATTGTGGTGGTTGGGATACCAATGTTGTTGGGGACATACCTTGCTGCTGCTGCTGCTGATGTTGCATCTGATCTTCATATTGTACATAGTTTTGTTGTTGATGCTGTCCCTGCTGCTGATTGGTGTCATCCATTTGTAGTTGCATTGTGGGCACGATTAGCTGAAGCGGTTGCTGCTGCTGGTGCTGATGATGATGTCTTCCTGATTTGGTACCATCTTCATCTTCTTCCGACTCGACTTCATCTTCCTCCTCCTCTTCCTCCACATTAGCTGGTAGCATTTCCCGTTGTTTTTGCAAAGCAATCTTTTCCAAACGCGATTTTTCATTTTGCAGTTGAAATTGTGTCTGACGTTGGGCACGTTCCTTAATCAGTGAAAACACTTGAACCTTTAGCAAACGGACAATGGCTCGAGCATCTTCCTCGGTAATGATATTTTCCTGCATCATATCATTGCAGACTTTTTCACAGTCATCGTTTTTAATGTCAAATTCGAATTGTATGGCTTCGTTTTCTTTGTGTTTGGAGGATCGTTTTTTCGGATCCAAAAAACGCAAACGGAACTCAACAACATTGTTGTCGGGATTATTGAGAAAGGCCTCGGTGGATGTGGGTTCAACACGTATCCCAATGTCTTCTTCAAAGAATTCGGAGTTCAACAAATCTTTGCATTTCGGTCGATCCTCTTTTCTCAGTTCTATGCATTTTTCGATAATCTCCCTTACCTTGGGATCTTCCACTTTACTCAAGGCCGCAGGCTTAATGCCGGATATTACTTTCTTATAGATCTGGGCTGGACCCTTACATTCACTATAAGGATACTCGGATACAGCCATCTCCAACATGCACATGCCAAAGGCATACACATCAACCGATTCATCATAGTGTTCCTCGTACATTTCAGGGGCCATAAATTCAGGTGTGCCTATGACAGATCGGGCATGTGAACGATTTTTCAACGTGGCCAATCCCAAATCGCCAATTTTTACACTCCCCGTGGTGCCGGTTATGAAAATGTTATCACACTTCAAGTCACGATGTATGATGGGCAGGGGGCGGGTGTGCAGGAAGTGTAAACCCTTAAGAATTTGACGACACCACGATTTCAATACTTTAGGATTGATTTTCTTGAAACGTTTCAAATAGGACTTCAGTGTTCCGGATAACATTAGTTCTGTGACCAATACAATGTTCTTTTTACGCGCCACACCAAATTCCCAATAGGTGTAGAAACGTACAATGTTTGGATGTTGAAGCTTTTTCAACATATCTGCCTCCTCCCGGAAACGTTTCCTCTCACTTTTCTTTACTTGTTTGTCCAACAATTCACACCAGGCCACAGCCACTCCCGTTTCGGTGTCTAAACCTCGATATACTGTCTTGAAACTACCACGTCCAACTTCTTTGTCGTATTTAAAGAAACGACCACATGGCGATACGCCCACAGGCTCGTCATCATCGTCTTGTATAGCTGAAGAAGAGGTGGGTGCAAGGGCGGCCACAACTGGCGCCAAGGATGTGGATATTTTAGGAACTTCAGTGCTAGGTTTTTGTTCATCATTTTGCGATTGCGATTCTGTTGTCAATAAGGCCTGTTCCTCTGCCACAACTGCCGTTTCAACCACATCACTAGGCGTAATAACATGAGATTTTGGCGTTTTACTTTGATCACCTTCAATACTTGTCAATTCAGATGTGCCTTTTGGAACAACGCTGCACTCGGCAACTTGTTTCTCGATTTTTTCCTCTACCTTAAAGCCAACCCGTTTTGCACTTTTATTGCCACCCAATCCCGGAGTTTTTACCTCCTGCTTTTCGCTCGTAAACGATACGTTCGAATGATCGGTTTCGGTGAGCGAAGTTACCTTATGATTTGTTTTGGC